GTGATTAGCCGAGAAGGTACATATACCTTCGAGATAAACCAGGGATATGAAAACTCACCCCCTCCCATATATCTACGAATCTCAGCATCAGGTGCAACGTGGGTAGAGGTACTGGTCAACGTCCTCCCACTTTTCATTCGGCAGAGGATCTACAAGGTTATAAATATTGAGTTCTAAGCCTTGAAATTAATAATCGAGGATTACTCCGGTAAACAAGTGCGAGTAAATGTCGACTTTTTTTTTTTTAAGGAGGGATGAAGGGTCTCCTCGAGTGGGAAACGCATCCCGTCAGGAAAGGGTTAATTTCAGGGGCAATTCTAGGAGCGTGATCGAAGGCACTCGCAGCCTTCGAAAATTTATATACCGCCACCGAAATAGAGCCCACGTGCGCCGAAGTGTGCGTACTCATGTGGGTACATGCCGAGTAGTTCGAGTACATACACGACACTTATGTATTTCCGTGTTCGGGCACTTCGGGGCACCGTCCTCTCCGCGTTCCGGCATTCTAGGCACTCGCCTCCTCCGACAAACGGTCTTTATTAGTCCGCATACTTTCAGTCAGTCCCGTACCAAGGGGCGTCGTAAATTATCCTGCAGGACGCCCTAAGAGTCTCTATAATTACAAATAAAAATGAATAATGAATATTCAAATGCGTTAGGAGGCGCCGTTTATATCGCCAAAACTGAGGTATAAGTCCAGGGCGAAATAAATATGCACGCCTCCGTGAGCCGAGCGAAAGTTTGCATGAGCCGATTGTTACGAATGGACACGTAGGTATGTTACGTCCTTAATGACGAGGAAGCGGATTTAAGGAGACACGATGAGTGACTTTCTATCCGCTGAGGACTTTGCTGAGGAGGGGAGGTGCCCTGCGAAGTGTCCTCTGGAAAGAACTCGGCGACAAAGGGCCCAAGGTAGCAGGCAACCTCGGTCGAGAAAGGTTGTACACTTTCCTGGGTAGGTAAGGATTGCACAATGCGACGTCCACGGTGCAGAGAAATGCCCGATGGGAGGAGCCCTTTAAATCGCGGTCCTGGAACCTGGGATGCACCGTCAACCTACCGCGGCCAAAGTTGCACAAAAGTGCCCAAGTCTCGTCTCCAGGACCATTGTGCAACCCAGGGTGAAGGAAGATCAGCTGGGGTCCGATCGTGGGAGGACCTTCCAGGATCTACGGAGGCACCGATGGAAGGTGGACCAAGGATCCCCTTGGAACCATGGAAAGAGAACCTCGCACGTGCACATCCCCTCTGGATCACTCTCTGCGACATGACGTCTGTACCAAAGATTGTAACAATGAAATAAAATAAAAAATGTCGTGAATTTTCCTAAATTTGTAATCATCTGAAATATATCCTCCAGCCTAGTAGATCAGAATCGATGAAGTACCAAACTCCATTTGAGAGCTCCTGGAAGGTGGACCAAGGATCCTCTTGGAACCATGGAAAGCGAACCTCGCACGTGCACATCCTCTCTGGACCGCTCTCTGAGACATGACGTCTGTACCAAAGATTGTAACAATAAATAAAAAAAAAATATGTGAATTTTCCTAAATTTGTAATCATCTAAAATATATCCTCCAGCCTAGTAGATCAGAATCGATGAAGTGCCAAACTCGATTTGAGAGCTCCTAGTATTTTCGAGGGTCTCGTGCGTCACGAGACCGAGCGTTGCGACGTCGGTTGACCGACTTTTATTTCCTTCGACGTCTCTTGCTCGTTTTCGGGTCTTCCAATGGCGGCACGTCGAGCACTGGCGCCGCACGTTCTGGTATAAATATATATATGAGAATTGGGTCGGTGCCCTGTCCTCTTGGTCGGCACTGTCTGCGCCTTCTCGGCGTCTATCGCGGTACCTCGATTCACGGAAGTCCTCCGGGATATATCGTCGAATCTGAGATATCCGAGGCACAAAAAGGCTATTTCTGGGCTGCGTTGCATCGCGGAATTCGCTCGGCACGGAGAGGCGTTGACGGAAATATTTCCGTCAACGCCGTCCACCGTCCTGGACACTTTGGCTCCAGCTTGGAAAAGAGGGTCCTATTCTTAGTCCCTCTTCTGAATCGACTTCCGAGAGATGCACTCGCATTCGGGTCGGCGGTCGAAACAACACGTCAGATATATATACATATACAATAAATAAAATAAGAAAACCACTAGCACCATTATACCGAGTCTCACCAGCAGCCTTCCCTCTTTGCCTCACGACCATCAGTTTGTATACAATAAATTCCAATTTCTTTCCCCTAACACGTGCATATCTTTCATAAATAAACAAAGCTTTCCGGAACTCGGTGATAAACCGAGTGCTCGAAAGCGAGCTTGTGGCGCTTATCGAGCTAATTTCCCATTCCAGATCCGAAAAACCGAAAGAATTCCACCGTCAACCAGTCGCCATATAAATGGCCAATTAATCTCTCCTAATCACCGCAAGTATATGTACAAAAATAAACAAGAAATACGCATGAAAGCTAATAAATATCCCACGACGCCCCCGTCTTATCGGTACCATTGACTTGGGATTAATTACCCTTAGGAATTCTCGGTGTCATTTTTCAAGATGCATGAATTCCCTCGGGTTTCAAAGTTTCCGCTTAGATGCGTGGGTGGAAAAGGACCGTCGACTTTCCCGAGGTCTTCCAGGTGCCACGTGGTTCCCGGTTGCGAGGGTCAGTGCCAAATGTTAAAATGTGGGAGGATGGCCAGTCGAGGTGTCGGAAAGTCTGAATTTTTCCGAGGTCCTGTAGCGTGATTCCCAACAATTATCCGTAGACGAGCGTGTCGGAGTGAGTATTTGTGGAAACGTGCAATCGCTGCCGACGGGGGCTAAGAAGAACTTGGGCGTGCTGTGTCTGCCATATGACAATAACATCTGTGGCCCACGGTACTCCACCAACACCGTCTCGCCCTTCGCCGTGAAGAGACGGGCCATCTTGCAGGCCTCGAATCTAACTTTACGAAACGGAACGAGAGGAGGGGTGTTCACAAAATTGCCACCCCGATTAGAGCTTTGCCAACGAAGGGTCTACAGGATATTCCACAAAGCCGGCTCGACGCATCGACATGGAGCGCACTTTTGCGAGACAAAGAGAGGAAGACCCTTCGAGGTCTTCTCTCGACTATAAAACTAGAAATCGAAGGATAGAAGTCTGGTTTACGATTCTCAGGGGCACATTGAGAACCCCTGAGGAAAGGCAAGAATCCACGTCAACAGATGTGGAGGCGTCGATTCCCGATGTCTAATACCTTTCCTTTTTCCTGTCCTCGGAGATGCATAGACCATAAAGGTAAACGCACCAGGTAAGGTCGCAAATCTCTTCGTGGGTTTGCACAAGTGTCCGGCACATGCGACTGCGTCTCTATTTTTTCCCCGGCCCCCGTGACTAAGGATACACCTTGGGCACAAATGTTTCCAAAATCTGGCGAGCACACCTTAGGTCCTTCCGACTCTCCAGATGTATTTGCTCGAGTGTTAAACGAGCGCACCATTTGCCGTGAAAAATAACCACTAGGTGTGGTAAGTACGTGTTGATGGGAATTAAAGTGATAATAAATATACGTGTGGGACGGTCGATCAATAAATACGTCTACAAAGCGATTTGCGATCCTCCCTCTTGTAATTTGCCAAATGAAAATATCGAACACGTGTAACGTGGATTCCATTCAGGGTTGAGATTTCTGCCGCCCTGGCCAGATGTCGCGCCCGTACGCGCGGTCATTCATGTGAGTTATCTGCCCCTCGGTAATGCAGGAAACGGCAATTACCCCACCAAGCTTGCCGCGGCCTTGATAACGGATATACCGAGGATGCACTCTTATCGTATTTATTTATAGCTCGTTGCATCTCGCCGCGAAGGCGAGCACTTTTCTCGAATATCGTAACAAACCGAATATCGTAACGAGTTGAGACCCGCGTAGCCTCTCTCGAGTGTGGGGTATAAAAATGCTAAAGAATTATTTGTACCAAACAAATAAACGCTTGTACAGGGTTTAACGTCAGGTTGCGGTAAAAAGGGATTTCGAATTCCCTTCCGAGATCACGGGAGTCCCCGAGATCGAAGAACGTGTGGCCTACCTAACCTCAAAAGTCGAGCATCTGTATAGCCGCTCTGCAGAGGTTTGCAGTGCCCGGCAGGCCGATATATAACCAACGAGCGCAAAAAGAGCCGCTATCGGTCGGCGAAGCCGCTATATTGACAGATGTCAATGATGCTTACAGGCCTTGACCGAGAGGAAATAAAATCCAGGAAAAGAAGTATCAATCCGGGTAAAAATCTCGATCTTCATCGCCGCACGCGTGACTCCGACTACGTAAAGCCGCGCCGAGGGGATTTTTATCCGGCGAGGGGACGAAGTCGAGAGCCGAGTTCGAAGGACCGCTGGATAAATAAATATTGCTGCAAATGTTAAACAATTATGAAGCCCCGGCACTAGGGAGGGAACCACGAGGGTCGACCAGGAGGAGTAAGAACGACATTCCGGTGTCACCGCGAAATCGAGAGTCGCCTCGCCACCGAGGAATGTGCGGCCGACCTAACCTCAAAACCCGTTCGACTTGTCGCCGCTTGCGGAGGTTAAGGTGACCCTGGGGCTCACCGAGTGGTCGGATATGCCGAAATATCCGCAAAAAGGCGGAAATAATCGGCCAGGCTCAATTTCGAGGTGCCGCTTCGTTGTCACATGTCAACAACGACGTGCAGGCCTCGAAAAAAAGTGCGGAAAAATTCATCTCGGTACTCACCGTTGTGACAGTGTTGGCTCGAGGACTGGCCCATCGTCGGAGGTGGTAACGACTGCCACGGAGAGGACACCCTACGCTCGCGGATTTCGCGGTAAAAAGGCCGTGCATGGGTCCGCAAAAAAGCGAGACATTTTAACTAAATATCACATTATCCCCGCAGTGGCTGCGACAGAGATGGACGGCCGCTGCCGAAGAGGTGATTGGCCCGGCCCTGACTGCGCATGCGCGAGCCGCGGGAATTCAAACGTCGATTCGATTCACCGGCGTGAGCCCACCGACTAATTATAAGTTTCGTTGCCGATAACTCCGTTAATAATTAACGCCGCTATATTCGATCTATCTCTGGAGTATATACTAGAGGGAGGTACGTAAATATGAGTCAAGTTTTATATCGGATGCGAAGTAAACGAAGTAAACGAAGCCGCCGTATCCGAGATAACTATAATAACGGTTCTTTTCCTTGGCGGTACTTTCCAACTGCACGCGGCTACGCACGGAATACGGAACGTTTCGAAAAGCTCCCCTAGAAGCGACCAGACATGTTTCTGGAATCGTTTAACACGTCCGTTTTGTAAACGTTACGGTTGACGTAACCGCATCGAATACCGTGTTTACTCCTATTATCTCGGTAACACTTATGCGACTCGTTTCTTCCCGAGTTCCTACATCTCCGTATCAATGGAACGATTGTTAATTGCATTATTATTTTTCAGGCGCAGAGCGAATTGTCAATTCAGCCGCGACTCCTGTGATACGTTGCGGAGGATGCCGTGAGGTATCTCGAAAATGTCAGAAGCTGACTCGTGACCTTTCTTCAGATTCAGTGACGAAATTAATTTAATGATCTAATGGGGCTGTTTACGCCGATACAAGCTACGCTGTAGAGTCAGCTGTTACTACAGTCAGCGTCCTTTCGCTTGCCTTAATGAACTTGTCAATTTTGACCGACGATAGAACGATTTGTTAGCGGAAAATTCATTCGATCCAATGTCAAAAGTCGAATATCTCAAGTGCTGTAATTTCAAACTAGTCAGTAGTCGGTCCTAGGACTACGTCTATCTTGCCGTGCATGTACGCATGTTGCATCGGAACGTGACTAGCAGGTAGCTAAACTCCTCGAATTAAGTCATAAACCACATTATCATTAGAGGATTGCCCTTATCTCGAGGAATTACCGCGGACCCTGTCCTAAGTTTTACGTCATCGCGAAATTGTAAAAGCGCCGCGACTGGTATGTTGCTTTCGCGGTACATGCTGTATTTCACGACATAGTAGACTGCGATCACGCGATTCTAGAAGCAACATGTACCGGGTGTCTCTTCGAGATCCGAAAAGCCCGAAGAGCTCGTCGTGACGCCCTGACGCGGCATAAAATGTACGAATGAATTGTATGAATTTTTTGCGACCTCGTACCTTGCTTTACGGAGCTAATAATTGTACTCTTAATTTAACTTTGTAATCTTTTCTGAGGAGCCTCAGATGGGTATAACGATTGTAGGAATTTCCCGGCACCGTAGGCAGTCTCCTTGGTTACGCGAGGGCACAACAGGCGTCGCGACGCCGTTCTCCAGCCGCGGAAACGGCGGATAGACCGCGTTTAGTTTCCGAAGTAGCTATCGAATAAACAGCTCCCTCGTTACCGAGCTCGGTGCGTTTAATCGTAAAGGACGATGAGACCCGGAAACGAGGAGGCGTCCTCGAAATCGCGATCACTCGAGCGCGCCGCTAAAGGAGACTCCTTCCAGCTCGTTTGTCAAATCGGAGCACGATGAAGAACCACTTAGGGCTGGTCGCAAGGTTCTGCCTCCTCTTCGTCGCGATCCTCCACGGAGGTGTGTAAACCTTTCGATTGGGTGACCCCCTCTACCTGAACGCTTCCTGGAAGTCATACACAGTTAAATTACAAAGTATACGTAGATACTCCGATTGCCCGCTTCCGTAAAAACTAGTTTCCTGCCGTAATTACCGTGCGAACGATCTTGCTTTAACAGTTCCGATGAAGCTTAACTCGGTACAGTAAATGTGAAGTAATGCCGACTAAGCGAATCTGCCATGATTTTCACAAGAGTTTCCCGGTTTCAGGAGAAGCTATAGACTGCTTCAAGTGCGTTTCCTTCGGAGGCAATAACAAACCTTGCGACGACCCGTTTCACAATAATGGGAGCTTCGACTTCCTGGAGTCACCCTGTTTAGGGGGTCGTAAAGGCCGTGATGGCCTTTTCCCTGCAACTGCTTGCATCAAGCTAGCTGGAACTTATGGTATCCGCTTTGACGCTTCCGTCTCTTGAGAAAGCCGCTATTTCCTTATCCTTCCTGTCGACCTTAAGACGCATACAACCGCACGCACTCCAAATAAAATCCGCCTCTGCGCTACCCTCGATATAAGAAATCGGATTATTAATTAACGAATCGCACGTACGTACTTTTGATAATTCCATGAAGAATTCTGGATGTTTCAGTGGATTCTGGAGTATCTTTCACGGTGAGAAGCTGCGCTCTGGATAGTGGAACTCTGACGACCGATTCCGAGATTACCAGGATGTCTCATTGCGGTCATTTCTATTTGGACAATGAGTGAGTCTGAAAATTTCGAAGTGTATCTTTAGATGAATTTTATTCTTAACAAAATTTTTTTTTTTTTCAGGTACGCGGAGGGTTGCGTTCAGTCCTGCAACGATGCGGACGCTTGCAACGCATCGAGGCGTGAAACGATTTCCATGTTTCTTTTAATTCCCCCAATATTTTTAGGGTGCCTGTTAGTGTGACGACGAAGTGAGATTACGATTATTAAAAGGAAGTCAGGAGTGTCCGCGTTCAGTTGTACAACATGCTGGATTACCATATCCAGGGCCTTAGCCATCGCTTGCTTTCACGAGCTTCTAAGCAGAAGCTCATTTCGAAACTGCCTTTTTTAACAGTAACCGCTGACTATTTACCAGTCGCGTATCTTTCCTCCAATAACTCCTGATATTGTGCAATCCAAGTCCGTGTGATAAAGGAGATTACGTTGTAGAGTCTATGACTCCTCTGATCGTTGAATAAAGCTTAAGAATTAACATATTCATGGATTTACGTTAAGCAGTCCGGGTCGAGAGGTCGATGACTCGAAACAACGTCTAAACGGTCTTTTGACAATGCACATATTCGCGTCCCTTTATAATACGGTACTTCAGTTCATCGAAATTTCCAAATTACCCCGATGTAAATTCGAGCCACTCACTTATATCCCAAATCGCGGTAAATATCCCGGAAGTGGAGGATATTAATTTAAATACCCACCGGGGGTGATGCGTCCAATGGAAAACAATGGCATCGGACGAGGAAGCGGAGTTACAGGAAATCGACCCTCTGGAGCTCGAAGTGCTAGAACTTGATAACTCGCCCATTATCGCGAAAAGCTTATCGAAGTTCGCATCGCTTCCGTATGATTGCGTGCTCCGATCCTGTCGTTTCATCTGGAACGAGTGCCTCTCGATCCTGGCCAATGGCTCCAATTGCGACGAGCTAGGAACCCTCTACGTCGGGATCGTCACGGCCATCCTCTGGCTGGGAGTTTTCAAAATATACAGCGACTGGTTTTCCGAGGTAGAATTCTATAAAAAAAAATTACAACGAATGTACTAAGTACGTTGGGTTTAGAAAAAAAAAAATAATCAGGATAAATCCTCAGTCTAGGGATTGTTATTTAAATCTGTATAATCGGTTAACTCGGACTCCACCGTCGAGTAGATCGACTCTCGCGTTTCGCTCGTCGCTCATCGACTGTCCCCGATTTGGTTCCGTCTTCTGTCAGTCCGCACCTCTCCAACATCGGACACATCCGATGAGGCATTACCCGCTTAAAATTACTGTGATCGCGGAAAACCGCGGGTCTTCAGGAAAGACCTCGACAGTATGCGAGGCCGCATGACGAACGTATTCGAGCAGTTCATTGAGTTCATCTACGGCGTGTTATGTTGGCTCTGGGAGACCCTGGAGCTGCTTGTCGAAATAATGCTGGACTTCGTCGCGAGGATCGTCGAACTGTTCATAGCGGTGTTGCACCTAATTTTCCAGGTGATATGCTTCTTCAGGGACCTCCTCATAGAGGCGATGCAGACGTTCGCTCACGTCTTCCAAGGAATCGTCAACGTCGTCGGTGGAATCACCTGCGACGACGTCGAGGACTTCGCCACGGCTTGCATCGTCGTCCTCCTCTGGGTCGGAGCAGCCAATATCGTCCTCAACATGATTAACAAGGTAACCCGCCTTGTTTCTCTTCCCTGAATCGCAAATAAAGACGATGGCTCATTAGTACAAGCATATCGTTACCCATTACACGAAGATAAAGCTTAATCGGGCAGTTTAGTGATATGCGGTCATCCGAGGAATACAGAATCCTTAACGGCCGAGCTTCTTCGACGCTTCCACTTAGGATTGCATTATATTAATGCAAGTAGGACCGTTCCACATGGCGACTCGACATTAGAGATTTCATTTAGAAATGTCCACCTCGGTCACCGGAATTCTCCATTTCTAGATGACCAAGCAATTGCGTTCGGATTCGGTACGACCATCGCAACCGGCCCTCCAGGGTACATTGCCAGGAATCTTTCAAAGTAAACCGCGGGTCAGGCTGCCTTATCGCGGTTATCGATAATTCGTCCACCTCGTTAATCAAAATTGTTAAGTGTAACTCTGTGCCGGGGCATCCTCTCTGTGCGAATAAAGTCGCGACGTAGTACGCTGTCGGTGGATTTTACAATTATTTTCACGGCAATCGCGCACGGTCGGATACTTAAGGGATATCAGGCCTTTGTACGTAAGTGTAACAGGCGCCTTCACTTTTTGTAAACCGGGTATATACTGATTTTTAGCGACCTCGTACCACGAGAGAGGGTGGAACCCTTAAGCGTTCTTACGCACGTCTCGCGCGAATCTGAAGACGTTGCTCCACTTCGAACCGAAGACGATGGTGCAAAAACCAGGTAACTTGCTTGACAATAAGACTATTCAGCTTCGTTCCACCATATTATGGGGGAGATCGACGGTACACTTAGCGAAGTAGCAGTTTTACGTCCTCCTGCGTTATTCCCTGGCGAAGATTCTTTAAGCTCGAGCTTTCACCCTTGGACAGGGAATAACGCGGTAGATAATGAAAATCTGCTCTAGGTTCGTGCACGTTCGTATTTTCCCTTCCTCCCTGGTGTTTCGTTCCTCGTAGCGTTATCTGGTTTTTGACCCGCACCTTTTCCTTCGCGGTTTCATGAAGCAAAAGGTTCACAATTAAGTCGTAGAACGTGGGGCATTAATACATTCCGTCCATTCGTGTGCATCCACGAATGGCAGTTTTTCGCAGGCCTTGCAATTAATATTATCGAATTAAGCTCTTCCTCGCAAGTCCACAGGATCAATGATTTGACGTATTGGTCCTAACGATTCCCCAGAAACCAGGATCGGAACCGTTCAACTTCTTTAAGCTACGTATGGCTGGGAATCGCGGCAACGAGGTGCCGATTAATAAATGCTGCGCCGGTGAGGTACTTCCAAGGAGGGCGAAAACGAAGTCGAGGAAACGCAGCAGCAAACGGCGCACTACCATGCCTTCGTATATGATCTCGGACGAGGAACCTATCGACTAAAGAAAGAAAATTAAAGCACAACCAGTGAGTAATCGCAGGAAATGAATTTGATAAGCATAGCTGCACATTAGATTTACAAATATATTCTTCCCGATGTCCGTGAACGCGACTTTCTCAAGAAGTGACACATCGATTGAAGATAGTACAAGCCTCGACGTGCGAAACGTCGAGTTTGACGTCACGAGCTTTGTGGTAACATTTACAACACCCGAGACGTCTTTGTATATTTGTATTAAATGTATTTCCTGTACATTTCAATCCAGTGTCATTTACTCGGTTTCCTCGTGATGCGAGATTTAGGAATCAGGTTAATGTGTGGGGAATATTTAGATGCTTGCCCGCGTTTACCGCAATATTTATCTTTTATAAACAATTTGTAGAGCGTCGGGGGAGATACAAATATTACAATCTTTAAGTTATACCGTATTATTTACACGTTATTAAATACAAGCGACCGCGTCGCCTTGAGATGCAAGCAAAGGTCGGTAAAGGACGTACAGGAGAGCCGAGCAAATTCAATACGTAACAGTATTCCAGCTACTTAACATATCACATTAAACTAAAGGATGTAAATTCCGAACGCTTACGATATTCAGCTTAAATGTATAAATTATTCCTAATAAAAAATAATTATATTAAGCGATTGCCGAGTAAATTGAAAATAAATTAAATCTTACTATATGGACGTTGTATACGATGCCGTTCAATACATGCGATACTCTCAAATTAGTCAGAAGAGCTGGGCTGTGGTAAGTTTTTAACCAGGTAAGAAAATAATATGACTTTTTAACACCGTGCCAGTGGTATCGATCACTGTCCAGATCCTAATCGAAGGGATTGGCCCCAAGACAAGTTACAATTATTTCACAATAAAAAATATACAAAATAATAAATGTTACCGTAAAATATACGTGGCTCATTCTGGAACGAACCTCTTCAATTGGAAACCATTTCGATTACTGTACATATTGTCACTTGTTGCAAAATCGTTTCTATGGCAAACGTTAATCTCGCACTTAATCGTTTACGATTGTAATAGCCAGCTTGTGGTCCGACCAGGAAAATGTTTTTGGTAATTGAATCTGTAAAAGAAGACGGCATTAAGCAACTTGATACACAATCATTCATCCCTGTACATATCTTGACAAGGGGTGACTAAACTTACATGATTAGGCATGCTCAAGACCTGAAATTCTTGAGCCATTCTTTCCGTCAGATCCTCAGGTAGCAGGACTTGCAACCAGGGGCCTTGAATCACGTAAGGCCTTTCTTTGGATACCAGCGTGCCGGTAACAGTCGGTGCAACTATCGTCACTGCCGAGTGCGACAAGATCGATTTGAAGGTAAAGTGTCGTCCATGCATAACTCGACCCCTAAGAGAGTAGCAAATATACCCAAAGGATAAAAGAACTCCTTCAAGATCCGATGAACGTAAAACTTTGGGCAATTTAAATATCGCTCACTTAATTGCAAGAGGTAAGAGACTTCCGGCTTCAAGGTTGAAGGTCAAGTGAAGTCCCGGCAGAGTTCTGACGCCGTTCTCATCCGTGAAACTTGTCTCTTGCTCGCAAGGCGACAACCTCTCGGTCTTGATCAGCGGCTTCACATCGCCATCCTCATCATCGGAGTCGTTTTTCTTTTCTCTGTACTTCTCTGTGCTCTTGTCAGTGGTCATCTGCACCCACCTTCAAATAAAAATTCAGCTCAGTACTTTTTAAGCCCCCTAGAGCTTTTTTACTTAAGTGGAACAAAAAAAATAATAACTGACCAACACTTCGCAGAGACGCCGCTCAAATTGGATCCTTCCCTCTCAATGCCGCATTGTATTTTCTCGGCAACGGATGGATCCTCCTCCATGACGGAATGAATTCTCCTGGTATCCGTTACCAGCCATGGGCCGCATCCCCTGGAGGTCTTCAATAAATTGACAACACCCAATCCGTTCCAGTGCTGAGCCGCCTGCAGCTCTTCCGAGGTAACGCCGATGATCTGAACGAAGGATACCTGTGGAAGCGTCAACGCATATTCATTAAACACTCGCTACCAAAATTATGGGAGATTCAAGAGTAACGTTCCTGAGGACAAGCGTACCTCTCCGTGGGGGGTAGACACAGAACTGGGCAGCTGGGGATCCCTGCCCATAAGTATTTGCGTAATGCGACCGCTCCCGTTGTCGAGGGGCGCGTGCCAGGACACGTGGTCGCCAGGAAGTAACATATTGCCCGAATTAAAGACATATTTCGCCAATTGCTGCATCACATTGGCCGGCCACGTTGGGGGAGTCCTTTCCCCTCGTTCTCTGACCAGCCTGAACGTCAGCTCGAATCCAAAGCCACTCGGACGACCAGGACCGCTTTTCGGATGCAGCCTTCCGTCCCCGTGGAGGTCCGACAAGCCCAAACTAGACATAAATTGCAATCCCGTTAGAACGCTATTTTTTTTTTAATAACAGGCAAACCTGGATAAGAACTTCTCAAGGAAACGTCTTAAAAAAGACACCCCGCAGCGGTCCGCAGGGATGGGCCCAGTTGGGCGGGATAAAGGAAGTGCAGGCAGAAGAGACTTTCTGAATGGGAAGGTATATTTAGAGCAGACAGCAAAGGGGAAGTCCCGCGTGCCTATTTCCGCTGGGGCATCCTGAGCTTTAAACAGTTTTATCCCCTCGCCCTCTGTCACTCCCTATATATAGAAGAAACTACTATAGCAGCTGCCCGACAACGAAGTCGAAGGTACGGAACGTGCTGTTAAAAAAAAAAAGGCGAAAAAAAGAGAGGAAGAGGGACGAAAAAAGAAAACGTAGACACCCTTTGATGGCATGCGACTCGATGCACGGATTTTAATGAGGACGCTGCGAAGGAAAACATCCGGCCCTTCTCGACTTCCTCTCTGCGCCTTCTACGTCGTTCAAAGTCGCTGGATTTACCCGTAAACGGTGAACGATTTACAGCACACGAATCGAAGCTCGTCCACGTGCCAGACGAGGACGTCTTTCATAAACCGATTCACGGATTTGTAGTTTCAAAGTAAGGGTAGCCACGTGTGCGTGGGGACCTTACTAGGCCTCCGAAATGCCCCCGAAAGACCAGGGTGTCTGGTGACACTGACAAATGCTTGACTTCCTGTTTTTTTCTTCACCCTGTCTTTAGACGGTTCCCCTTTGCTGTCGAAAGAAGGGCGCCTTTTCGGAAGAAGGACGTTCATCGTAAATCCGGGAAAGTGAACACCATGGGCGCCGTGGAAAGGGTAATTTCTTTTTTCTTTTTCATTTTTCCAGGACACCTCACCTAACGTAGTGCCAATGTGAAGGTACACCCAGCTCGGGACATCCAGGATTCTCGTACATGCTTATGTAGTCTAAAGGATCTGGACCACCCAACCTGTAAGAGGAAAGAAGACTCGAATTACTCCTTTTTTGCATACCCTGAGTCTCGGTGCAAAACCGAGGGTTGCTAAATATAAAGTGCTATTTGCTGTGGAATGCTTCGCGTTCCTTGGGGGTCGAGTGCTGATCGTATTTCTCAAATATTGTTCTTTTCAGCAGCCTCGAAATTGAATTTGAATTTCAGAGGGTCGAAATTGAATCTGAGTATCAGCGGCACCTTTTTAAGACTCCCGTTTTTTCAAGGGCTCTTCATGAAGCTCGTTGAGTCTCCTCTACTCGAGAATACCAGACACATTGCAAGCACTGTGCGTCATAAACGCTTTTTAGAGAGACGTAATTTATCTTTCCAATTAAAGTAACCTCGAGTAACATGAAAAAAGTCCCCAAGGTTTCCCACACGAAACAAGGGAGAACAAGAGGAACGTCTTATGTCAACGATGTGATAACATGTATGGAAGTAAGCATACATGAACATTTGTCAAGAAACAAATTATATGCATTTTCTCGTAACCCTGATTATATTATTGAAAATTTTGATTACAAGGTCAAGAAGTTCCCACGATCGGCATGTGCGAACTCATGAAAGATGAATTGTTCCAATAACAAAGGAACACGTGAAGCACAACCAGGGTATTAAAATTGGCAAAAACCGTAAGTGTTTATGGAGTACTTGTGAGAGGATATAAACAAAGGCCAGCTCACAGTAATCTCGATTCCAAGTATATCATCCTAAATTAGTTGACAATTACTAAACTTACATGGCAATTGAAAAATGCTTCCACATAGAACACACTTGACTCCGATCTCGTTTAACATATTCACAGAAAACCCGATATATGTATTAATCGAGAATAAACAACGAATAATAATAGTCGAATTAATGAAAAGATCAGGTACAGAAATCGCCAAATGTCTCGACAGAGCCCTCGTCAAGTATTTACACATCTGTGGCCCTGTTTTTAAATAATAAAGATATTAAAAATAAAGGCGTTGCCACATCTATTATAGCTTCACTTAGCTGTGTTAAGTCGATAAACAAAATTGTACAACTCTCACCAGTATTTGACAATAGCCGTGACAGTGAGTGGGTTCCCCTGGTCAGGATAAATCTCCTTGCAGAGTCCATGTAAAGCATCTAATCCCAAGGCTCTCGGAGAAGGAGCCTGACTTGGATGGCCAGGAGGGAAGCTCCTCGCGAATTCCTCCCGCTCTCGCATGTTGGCGTACATAAACTCCGGCTTTGAGACGCGAGAGGACCTGGATCTTCTCCGAAGTACTTCGTGTGGTTGGCTCGCTGCGACATGCGAAAGCCCATTCACGGGCTGTCTCGTTCTCGCCCCTGACCGTCACGAACTACTGCGAACTACGACGGGTCCGAAAGCACTCGAGCGATCGCGCCGGAGCATAGATCTATGAAGAAAGAGATGGAGAGAATCTCCTAGTGGGTGAAACTCAAGACGTAAGGGGAAGGAATGAGTGGCGGCCATCTTGGATTTCTAGCGTTTTCGCCTCCGTCTTAAACAGACATAAAAGCAGTTTAAAGCACATTCACGTTGACATTCGTGATTTCCATGCCCTTATAAATAATATCCAACACGATTTCACAATTTTCATACCCTTTGGCACGCGCTTTATTAAACTTCAAAAAAGGCGCCGTACGTAGGTACCCTTTGGCAGGTGTTTACGAGACGAGATTGCGTGTGTGTACAACCGTAAGATGTGTGTTTTGTGTGGCTTCAGAAGATGCAGAATGCATTTTTTGTAATGTATCGTTATTGCTTCTGAATTTAATAAACGAAGATACGATGCATTTATGGGAATTGATTCACTGCTGGCGAGTTGCTCGAGAAGCGAAGCCATCGTCTCGCCGGTCGGCGTTGAAGTGGGGGAAAGTTTAGGAGACCTTCTGTAGTTCACCCGCATCATAGTCTCTCTCACGCACTCACTGGGAAGATCATGAGAAAGAGATGGAGTGGTCTCTTTGAGCAGCACTTGGGAGTAACGTGCGGTACAGGAGAGAAATCTCGCTCGTTCTCCCAACAGCGCCCAACCCTGCCTGAACAGATCTCGTTCAAAGGTGACTTTATTGCTAGTGATTTTTTTCTTGATTTCCACGACTTTGCATTTAATTGATTAACAATGCCTTATAGTCGTTGTCTGGTCGTATTATTTATTTCTATTATAAATCGAAAACATGTACGAGACACTATTACAAATGTTTATAAAACGTTGCTAAAATTAAAAATACTGCATTATTGAGCTGGTTCTCATGCTCGGCACAGCATTATATAGATTGTATGAAAGAAATGTGTTGTACAGCAAGCCTAGCACCCTCCGTTCTTCTTTCCATCTATTATTCCATCGAGTCTTTGGAACATACAGTTGTCCTTCGTGCCAATGAATACATGTCTCCTTGTATTACACCTAAACTTTTTACTAGAGACAAAATATATATCTGTGTACATATACACGTATGTATACATATATGTATATATATATCAAACTGCTTCAATCATGAAAATGTTTTTAAATTAAAATTTCATGGAGGAACTACACACATGGTTCGACATAATTTCCAGGGAACAAACCCGTGATTCCATCCATCACTCCTTCCCACCATCCATCGTCATTCTTCTTGAGGACATATATCACTGAACTCTCGGAAAAACTCAGCTCATCTTCCTTGTCCGCATAATAGTCATAGATTGCCACCACTAGATTAAACACATTGAAAAACATTAATACCGGGGTACAAAATATAGAAGAATTTAATTATATGGAAAAAAAATGATGTCATTGAATTGTACCTTTCTCGATATAATTTTTAGGTACCCATCCAGGTAAATCTTCTTCATCTGGTACAATAGGCATAATAGCACCACTCGATTGAGAAGGTCGTCCAAACTGTGGATGCTCTTCTTGCTCTGGTGGAGGTGGTGGAGGCAGTGGAGGGCTGTTTGCTCCACTGCTGCGACTAATCTGATGTGACAACCGATGTGGCAAAGTATGGTGACCACTATATTCTGTCATATCGCTACCAATGCCCACTAATGGTGACGGGGGAGCTGAAAGTTAAATTTGGAAGTAAATGTTTATTCAATAAAGTAGTTACGATGTAATCAGTATTTTCATAAATAAGTCACCCGAAGAAATATACGACCGATCATATTTTAAATGTACTTACGAGGCATACTGTTGTGGGGTTCTTGAATATAACCTTGAGCTCCAGTGATACTGGGAGGTGCAGGTGGAGGTGTCTGAGGATGAGTTTGCAGTGGATGAACCGTTCCTATTTGTGGAGGTGGAGGAGATGTGTGCTGGGTTGTAGTATTTACATGTGTAACGTGGGCAGTGTTGTGAGATGTATGTGAAGTAGTATGCACGTGAAGAGGTAAAGTGCTATATCCTGGACCACGCTCACGTCTTGGATGGCCTAAAGGATAATTTGGAGCATAATGACTCGGAACTTGAGGTGGAGCAACAGCCGGTGGAGTTCTGTACTCTCGGGAGCCTTTACTTAATGTCCCTGTGAAAGACCAATAAATTTATAAACTGCACTCTGTTCGCAGAATATCGAAGATGAATTAGTTTACCAGTTCTAACTGTCTGGGGTGGAGTCGGAGGTTTGGTAGTAGGAGCAGGTCCTGCCATGGCAGCTCCCAAACCAGAACCAGTCGACGCTCCTCCTAAACTCTGTACACTGCCTTGACTACCACCTCGTTGCTTGCTCCTCGGAGTGCCACTGCTCCGTACACCATGACCAATTTCATCCAAAACTGTGTAATCAATACTTTTTCTGACATACTTTATTGGTTTTTCAGGATTAGCTGGAGCAATGATTTTATATTGACGTGTTGTCATTTTGTTAGCAGTAAGCACTCCGATTTCTCTCCTAGCAACTTTTTCTTTATGAATCATAACGGTTTGGGCTATATGATTCATTTGACTTTCCATTTCGGCTAATTGGGAGGTTTGCAGATCAAGCAACTGCAGAAAATTGTATGCTAGAGTGTTGATTTGATATGCAACACTAGCTAAAGACTGGGTTGTATAATTTTTTGTTTCTTCCAATGCAATTCGTTTGTTTTCTGCTTGAAAATAATTGGCTTCACAATATTCCGCAACTCGTTCCAGATTTGTATGGCTATCGGCTAAGTTACTCCTTCCCTCTGGAATCTCCTGACGGAGAAGAGTCGCCAACTCTGCCATATCTAAACGGGTGTTTACTTTGGAAGCTGAGTGCCACGAAGTGAATTTATCCTAGAAAAACCACATATCGATAATTAAATAGCATTCATCAGATCACTACACCTTAAGCAAAGGAAATACCTCTACGCATATACTAATGTAGCAGCAGTTGTGATAATTCAATAATATCGAATAGTGTGGACTTCCTGTCTCAGTACTTTACAATCATACGAAATCATTACAATGTTTCGTGCAAATTTATTTTTCAACCGAGACAAGTCTGTATCTAATGTACACAATTAAACCGTCTGTTTTGTTTAAAAATAGACGGAGAAATCAGCAAAAATCAAAACAGAGTAAGCAAGGAGTGGTATCCGACACAGAATTCAAGATGGACGCCAAAGGGGGTCTAAATTAAAGGGAAGACTGTAGGATGTAAAAATCAGTATTGAGAGATTTGCTAGTGCTCTCCAGATCGTTTCTAATGACTATTATACCATGCTTGATTCACTACCATTATAAATGGTTTAACGAAATAAAAAAAAATCTTACCGCACGATAAACTTGCCCCTGCGGCACTCTTGGACACCCACGACATCGATAACCGCTATTAGATTTTTATGTGTTTGTAACCTATAAAATGAAATGTATACAGTGGCGTAACCAATAGGTGAGAGGACTGCGTGCTTACGGGGAGCGCCATATTCCTGAATATACTTCCAATAATTTCCGACAGGTGAAGTCTCGAAAAAGTCGGTGCGGTCGTCCATCTTGCGGATTATGTAGTCAATGATAGTTTTGAAGCTGCAAGCTCACATTACCGATTTGTGGAGCTCTAGGGTTGATGGACCTGACCAGGCCCAACTAAGTATTGATGTGTAGTTGGAGACAGATGGATTGTTGCTGAATTTTCCTGCGTTCTCGTGGCGTGGAGTCGATGTCGAAATCCAGGGGAGACTTCGTTAACCTCGGAGATATCTCGCCAGTACAACGACCGGTAACGATCGAAGAACTCGACTTCTAAAATTGTATAATCACCTTCCTTCGTCGATTATGATCAACTTTGTGCGAGTACCCAGGAGTTCGTGGAGTAATTTAAACAGCTGATCGTTGGACAATAGTTAAACCGTCGGTTGTAGATCCTGGTTGAGCGATGGCTGGGTTTGTGCTCAAGTTTAAAACAAAGTTGGGAGTGAAAGTTGTTCACGAATTGACTCCCCATGATAAAGTTCCTGCCTTAAAGGCAAAGCTTTCCGAGCTTACTGGGATACCTGCCGAAGCTCTCCAGATACTGGCAGGTTTTCCTCCGAAAGAACTTGATCTCAATCGGGGAGATGCTACTCTAGAGGAAAGCGGCATCGTATCGGGAGACACCTTGATTATCGAGGAGAAACCCGTTCAAAATGGGGAGCAAACATCTGAAAATATCGGACGATCACATATCATGGACACAGAGGATATCTCGAACAGTCCGGGCGTGCTCATGAAGAAAGTTGTTCCTGCAGATAATTCGTGCCTCTTTACCAGCGTAGGTTATGTGTTAAATGGTAATGTATCGAATTGTTTTTATTAAGAGCAATTGTTTTTAAGAATCAATTTGTAAAAGCTTTGTACTAGTTTAGATTATTGTTTCAGGGAAAGTCGATCCTTCATGTGCAAGTTATATGCGGGAAATCATTGCTAATGCAGTAGTGATGGACCAAGAAGAATACTCTGAGGCCATCTTAGGTCGCCCTAATACAGAATACTGCGAATGGATTCGGAAGTCGGATTCATGGGGAGGTGCCATCGAATTATCAATATTGTCGCGATTCTATGGGCTTGAAATTGCTGTAGTCGATTGTATGAATGCAATTATAAACAGATTTGGAGAGGATCAACATTATGCTCAACGTGTTTTTCTTATATTCGATGGTATTCATTATGATCCGCTTTACCTTGAGCCACTTGAGGTAAGTGTAAAGATTTATTTATTTGTTCCTTATAATAATTAAGGAAACTGACTTTTATGTTTTACCTTTTTTTCTAGGGTGATAGCATACAGACGATATTTTCAGCAGAGGATAAAAAGCTATTACTCCAAGCAGCACAATTAGCAAGAGAAGCGAATTCTTGTCGCCAATACACAAATGTTGATAAATTTACGTTGAAATGTATGATATGCAATGCTTTAATTAGTGGGCAAGTAGAGGCGCAGGAACATGCCAAATTTACTGGCCATATGAACTTTGGAGAAGTAGCTGCCTAGCGTCCTACTGGATTTATCAACTACCAAACAAGACTAATTTCGGTCAGTGAATAGTTCCACTCCTGTCAAAAGTTTAAATATAAACTAGTACGTTTTGTAGTCATTTGGTATTCAAATGATACTCTAATTGTTTGCTCAATTTATTTTTTTTTTTTAACAGAAACAGTAGATACCGTTAGGCCCTAGAATCAATTTAGTAGTTACTACATTACTTATAACGAGGGCACCGAAAATGTAAACATTTTTTGTTTACTCTTTATCCCAATTCTGTATATTATAAATTATATATAATTAAATTTAGGAACTGAATCAATTGTTAAATATTAGTTAAATTAGTTTCTTTGTAACGTTCTTTTACATCACGTTCTACCATCTTGCATCGGCGTTAGCTAATTTTACCGACTCCTGCGAGTATGTAGCACAACTTATCAAGCTCAAGTTTGTTACTTTCCTTCGCCCAGAAAACAAGGTTCTTATTTATCGGTTAAAAATAGACCGCTTGCCCGACACTTTACCCGAATAGCCGAGGAAAACCAGTATATCAACAGGACGAACATTCGTTCCACCAAAAGCGAGTAGCTTTATATTTCAACGGAGTGCAGAGTTCGATAACATAATATATTAATGACGAAATAAAGTTAATCACCATTGGTGGGATTGAGTGTTACTAGTCCATGATGCGATATCCTCGAAGAAAGTTGAAAAAAACAAAAACAATAACATCAATCTGCGTGCGTAAAGACGTGATCAACGAATGTGCGATTAAATGTTAACGTCGCTGCTACTACTACACGTACTGAGTTCGCTCGCGAAAAGAAATATCTATCTAAGATTTACCGAAGAGTCCACGGTTGTGGGTTCACGTTTCCATCGACGTTGCGCAGATCTATATTTATACAATCGTGTAGTATGTTTTTTAAAGATCTCCGTTGTAACAATCGCGTACAATGATTCGAAATAAATCGTATTTACTTTACGTAAGTAATTCCGTCGCTTACGAGTATCCTGTAAGTCACTTTCAAAAAAACACATAAAAATAGTTTGTCGTTAGGTTATCTACCATTATCTTCCATTATCTCCTATTATGCTTTAATATATAAGAGTAGCCTCTATCGCTAAGGTTGGGGTCGGTAAGTAGGTGGCCTTTCTCCTGAGAGATGGCGCTGGCGACCCTCGCGGAACCAACGGCCAAGTTCAGGGAGTTCAGTGTCTCGTCAGCCGCGACGGGGGATTGATCGTTCGGTCGCGCGTCTCCGCGTAAACACGCTCGCGGTACATTGTTCGGTGAGCATCGCTCTTCTCTCGCTCCGCGGATCGCCGGAATACTCTCGTAATAATATCGGAGTTTAGCGCGCTCGTTTTGGAGCGCCTCCAAGGAGCTCAGGTCGGGCATGGTTTTTGGCGCCGGGGAGCCACCGATGTAAAATGTCGTTACACCCCGCGGCCTTCCACTCGCCTAGGAGGAGTTCGCCGACAAACAGGTGAAGATGGAAGATGAGGCGGATATCAGGGAACAGTTATTTCACAACACCGTCCGGGAGAACATCGTAAGGATCGATTCTCGCCTAAGGCGTATTTTAAGGCCGGGGCGCCGCGCCGGACGACCCGCTCCTGGCTCGTCGCCACGGCCGCCACGTATTTCCCTGGTTACGGCTAGACTGTAGAGATCCTCGCCTCGTTTTTCTTTTTTTTTTTATCCGGAGACCCCGAATTTTTTTAAATTCCTCGTAACAAACCATACCTGCCATATACGCCAAAGGTACGTTCCGTTCCATCGCGTAGCCTCCACATTTGGGTAAGACAACTCTTTAATAAATTTAATAATCAGTCATTAATGCGACGTTTTAACTCCCATAAACTATGCGGAGAATGCGGCGCTCCGATGTGCCAGGAATTATGAAGCAGCGAGGAGTAAGCGGTTCGATCCGCTTCGGTTGGGACGTCAATAGGCAGATCGTGGATGTTAACAGTACTTTGCGGATTCGTCGACTTGGAAGACTCTTTTAAATCCGGGTTAACGGTGCTCCGAAATACGCGACCTTCATGTCGTCCTGAAAATGCCTCCGGTTTTTCCTGGTGCGTGTATGTAAGGATTTTGGTATATATATTTATATATAACGTTTTAACTGGGATGTATGTAGGTTATGCGGAGTTGGGTGAAACGTGCACGTGTTTACATGGTGGACTTGTACGTCGTATCCACGTGGATCCGCTTCCTCGAGTTTTATGACGAGCAGAGAGGGCTCGACGTAAGTGGCTCGGCCTTGGCCGGCCCGGAAAATCTAATCTTCGTTTCGAAATGTCCGGAGCCCATTTAAAATGCGGCAGGAAGAGGGGGAGAGGAAAAAGGACGGATCGCAACCTGGTTCTCGCCTCGTCGGAAAGGCCTCTCTCGCTGGAGGAACGCAGCGAAAACATCGCACGGTTTTTCCGGTGGAGGTCTTGGATCGAGCCATCCAGGCAGAACCGGAAAGGCTGCTCTACCCTCTGCGGAATCCGCAAGAGGGAACAGAGCGGAAATACTTGGCTTCCATTTCGAAGTCGAGGCCCCGGAATTTCGTCGAGGGAGAACGGGATCACTTGGAGATGGATGTTGACTCCGGGATGTGCGAAAGTGCCAGTCGATGATGTCGACGAGGAGGATCGCTGGTCGACGTCATCGAGAGATGTCGAGCACTCGTCCCGATCCATCTCGACGAGAGTCAAGATTCTAGGCACGTTGAAATTGACGTCTAGCGCAACGTCCAGAGATATCGAGATAATTTGGGAAAGGCTATTGACTCCTGGCGTCACGAGAATAGAATTAGACGTCGACGAAGAGGACGGGATCGTTATTCCAATCGAAGAGACGAGACTCTGTGGACCTTGAAATCGACGTAGTAGAGCGCAACGACCAGATTAGCCAATGATTTTGATGCTCCTTGTTATAGACAAGAGGCCGAGCGCATCGACGACCGCGAGGTAGATAAACCTGAAAAGGTTATCGACACCTGCCGTCACAAGAATAGCAATCAAGATTTACGAAGAGGACCCTCGAATTAATTTATGTCGCCGACTTGTTTCGCGACGACTCACCGTGGACGATCCCTCGCGGCTACCGGGCTCCGATCGCAGCCTCCGCGTGCGGATGAAATCCGCACGCGACTCACGTTTTACCCGCTCCGCGGCATTCCTGGCAGGGTATAATTATTTCGAACTCAACGGGCGTTTATCGCGGCTTTCTCGTTACTTTCGCGGCGAGTCAACGGCCCGAGTCTTCCGCCCGCAGTCCGCCCCTAATGTCAAGGATCCTCGGCGGAATTCCGCAGCGTCCTGTTACCGTCTCGGAGGGTGCTCCCGAGAAACGAGGAACTCGAACCGCCCTCGGGAACAGGGTCAAGGCGACTCGCGATTTTCGCTGATACGGCGGATTTTTCGCGCGATTCTTTTCAACGCAGGGCCAAGCGGTTCGCGACTTTTTCCAAGAACGTTCGGTAAATCGGCTGAATAAATTCGTATATTGCTGGTTTGGCCCACCACGGGGAAAAAATAATCGGCCGGTAGTTCTAGGGTCAAGGGGATGCGAAAGTGGGATCCCGAGTCGTCCGAAAATTGTCGGAAATATTTATACGGAAGTTTGGGAAAGAATTGAAATTTCATGAGTTTTAGGACCTTCCTTACAGGCTCCCTATTCACGTTGTGAAGTTTCAAACTATTCGGTAAATCGAGGTGGGAGAAAAGTTTTATAAACAAAACCTCTTCGATGCCACTTATACATCTACTTAACGCGACGACCTCTTTTATGCGTTTTCTGGAAGACGGTCTTCACTCTTAACATCGGCGCTCCTTTCTATCTTATTATATTAATTATCTATCATATTATAAATTATCTTATTATATAAAACTATCTTATTATAAAGTAATAACTTTCCCTTACGGGAGAATTTTTTTGTCGGCGAGCCTCGAGTCGCGGATGTCCGCGTTAATGCGACGACCCCTTTTATGCATCTTCTGCGAGACGGTATTCATTTTTAACGTCGGCGCTCCTTCACGGTGTCGAGAGATCGGCGTTACGGCGAATTGTGGGTCGTAGACTCGGGCCAAGGCTGCATACATGAATTATTTAGCACCCGATCGGTGCCACAGAAGGCTGAGAGAAGCTTAGCCAACGGGACCCGGTTGCGCCGCGGATAAGGTTAACCGATAACGTTAATAATAGGAACGAGAGGGGCCTTACGAGCGGGAAGGAACTCTTGGCCTTTTGCTTTGACAGGGTCGAGGTGACCGCTCCTCTTAACGCGGCGCCTTATTAATAGTACCGGTGAAACTAACTCGACACAGGGAAAGAGGACGATGCTCTTGGCGGAATTTCTTCCTAGACTTTGATCGGCGCGTTCGTCCCTCCGAGCACCGGTGAATGACAACGGATGGCAGTAAATGCCGGGGGGACGCGAGTTGACGTAGAAATACGCTGACGTGTCGGGTCGGTGTCGTAACGTGACGGTATGACGACGTTTTTCGTCGCGATTCCGTTTATCCTAAGTGACGCTTCGCGACACGTGCGGCTAGCCGAGCTCTATGTAATTAATTGTACACATTATATTCATTATATTAATTGTATGGGAATTGGTGTGCCCAATACTGACACGATACTTGGCCCGGTATGTTCCTACCTTTAAGGTGATACGAAAACGTCACTATATATATACAAGCGTGAAAATATTGATAAAGCTTTTCTCCAAACTGGGTGCACCGAGTTATCGGGAACTTTAACACGTGATTGTGGAGGCTCTAAGGAAGAACGCGGTGCTCCTGAAATTTCATTTTTCGAAAGAAAAAAAAAAAGAAAAGTATTTGGTTCTTGTCGAAGATCAATAGAATTTTATTTTCGAGAAATTAAATTTCACGAGCATCGCGTACTTCATTTGGGTTTCAAATCCACATTTTCTATGGTGTATATATATAGCATAGCCATAGCACACCGTGCACGTAGGTGCAAATCTTCCTAAATTCGTATCTAAGAATTCGTACATTTTCATATCCATTCCGATAGGGTACTGATTACATGCAAGGGGTGTAGATATGTCTATTGATTTTGTTGCCTTCGAGCACGTGGTCGATTCTTCAATCCAGAAGACGCACTCGCTCGTAAATCTCCCCCCGAGGGGAGTACACACTCGCGCTCGATTTACTCGCGTTTTTTCACGTGGCTATCCGCGAGTAGCGCGGAATTCCATTCATTGCTCCTGTTTAGATAAGCGTAATCGGTCGGATGGCCCGTGAAAAATCCACTCGAGGAGTGTCGGATCGTTTCGTCGTACGCGACGCCTCGAAGAGAGGGAAAAAGAAAAAAGGCAGCGATCGCTCTCGTAATCGAGTCGCAACCTCGTTTGACATCTCGAACGCGATCCCCTTATCCTTATCGAGCACGTACGAGCTCGAGCTATTAGAGCGAGTAGTAACGGGGTCGAGTACTCGTTTCGATCCTTCGCGTGGTCGCTTATTTTCCGACTAATTACCGCCTTACACGGTGTCTTTACACGAGGTGGAGAAGGCGCCCCAGTTGCCGGGTACTTCGATCCATTCTCGGTTAAATAAACTTAAGCCGACAATAAGGTGACACCCCAGAGAGATCAATTATTAATACAGCTTTGTTTCCTACTCGAGTACCCCAAATTCCATGAAATCTTCCCTACATGATTATGGAGGCCCTAATAAGGTTTTCGACATCCCTGAAAATGTCATATTTTACAAAGAACGTTTACGGATAAATTTGGAGAAATTAAATTCCATGGGTGTTCAAGACCTTTTTTAAATCGAGTGCATCCAGTTTGGAGATGGGTTTCGTTAACGAGACCTTTAAATGTACCAGTTTCGTGTAGCCTTAATTTTAGATAAGATATTCATAAGGAACGTCACGATCCAATTGTTTCTTTTATTTTAAGAGTGTTAGCCAGGGAGGAAGAAAGACGCCTGTTGACATTAAATTTCGCATGTAAGACGATTCCGTTACCAAGAACGAAGGCGCCCAGGCGAAATCGTTTCGGGGCTGCTCCGGGGCCAAAATAGAATCCCCGTATCGGGTTTGCCCGCGATAACCTGGCACGCTTAGTCGGCCCTTTATTTCCTCTCGCCAGGGGTGTAGCGTGTCGAGTAGCGTTAGAACATTAGGCGGGGTTATCGATTTATGGACAACGGAGAGGCTTTCTCGTATGCTGCAACGAGTCGGCCTTGCGTGGCGAGTCGACGGTCAAGTCGTTCGACCAATCGATACTTGCAGTCAAGGCTAACACCTCCGACGAATTTATCCGACAATCCGCTTAGGCTCCAGACTTTGTTTAAATCCGCGGACGGTGTTTCCATCGGAGCACTCACATGTCGATGACGCGCGAGAGCCACGTGACAACGCGATTACGCAGATAAGGAAGCCAAAGCTAAGCGTCAATACTCGTTGCGGGGTGTCAATAATGTTTCGATGTACGGTTTACGGATACATTGCGAGATTGTGATAAGGCGAAACGACCCTCGATAAGGGCTATTAGTACGGGATCGGGGCGGTCGGCCGTGATTGCGCCCCTTATCAATCTATGTTCAAAATGTCTGGCCATTGTTCGACCACGTGGTCTATTAGTCGACGTATTTTGACGTTTCTTGTCGCTAATAGCTCAGGCGGGGGTGATTAATACACTTTCTGACGTTGTCAGTGATGTTTCGGTACATGGTTTATGGATACATTACGAGATTGTCATTGATAAGGTGAAACCGACCCTCGATAATGGGTGTAAGCACGCGATCGGTCGTTATTACGTCCCTTATCGATTAGTAAAATGCCTGGCTATTGTTCGACCACGTGGTATACGAGCCGATGTCTCTTGACATTTCTTGTCGCTAATAGCTCAGGCGAGGAGGATTAATATACTACCTGGCTGTCTATTTTCGAAGGCAGTGCCTCGATTACATCGCACTAGCTGGCCGAGAGCGCCGATAAAAGCCAGGAATAACCGGGAGAGTAGGTGCGAATTACTGCGCCGTTTTTTAGGGGGTGCGGGGTCGACTTTTTATTCCGAGCACCGGGGTAGAATTCATTTTTTAAACGGTAGAAGGAAAGAAATGGACGTCTTGAATTTGAGGAGCCACGGTCCGGGACTCTTCTCTGTATGCAGATCGCGTCGTGGACTAGATACCTGCGTCAAAGCTCTGCAAAGGTGCAACGGTGCAGCGGTGCAACATTGCAGAGGCATGTCTTACGTGGCGGTCCTCCAAGAATTCCTTAGGCGAAGTCGATGGCGGATTTTTGCGACAATGCCGAGACGACTGGCGGCGTTGATTTTACAAACCAGCTCGTACCACGCGCCAATTAATTAAATGCGCTCCATGATCGTCTGGAGGTTCTCTGTACGCGACTTAGAGCTAATTTAAACTTAAATTAGTAAGTACTCGTGACACCGAGTGAACGACTTGCGATTTTGTAGAATATGCAGAATTTGTATGTCTTGACGGAGGTTTAACTTTTTTCTTTATTTTTTTCCCCTTTCCTTCAGATATTTCTCCTGCTGTTCCTCCTGCTCTACATCTCGAGCTACGGCCTTATCGCTAGGTTTCGTCGAAGGGACCGCGAGGACTATTTCTCCGTGGACGAGGACGAGGCGACGGTATACAGGATCAGCCTATGGCTCTGTACGGTCGCCCTGGCCGTGTCCGTGGGGGCCACCCTCCTCTTGCCGGTCTCCATCGCCAGCAACGAGGTGCTCATCCTCTACCCCAACAGCTATTACGTCAAATGGCTCAACAGCTCCTTGATACAAGGTAAAGGTTACCCATATCCTATAACAAATACGCACGTGTTAACGAAATAATGCCCGTGACGAAATTTATTGTTTCACTTTCTAGGTCTCTGGAACCACGTGTTCCTCTTCTCGAACCTGTCGCTGTTCGTGTTCCTACCGTTCGCCTATCTCTTCACGGAATCCGAGGGATTCGTCGGCTACAGGAAGGTAATGAGGAGCGCACCTGGAATTAAAATTGATCGAATTGATGATTATTAACGTGTTTTCTTCTTTTTTTTTTCTTTTTTTTTCCCTTTCTATCGTTCCAGGGTGTCATGGCCAGGGTTTACGAGACAGTGACGGTCTTGTGCTTGCTGGGAGCTCTGGTTTTGGGCATAACTTACGTGCTCTCCGCACTGATAGACTATCACAAGTCGAGCCTACACACGTTGCTCAGTGAGTGCGCCCGAAGGGTACAAATTGGCGCTATTAAACCAGTCCTACTTTATTAGCATTTTTATATTTTTTTTTATTTCCACGCATGGTCTCGAACGCGCAATTCCGGCGTTACGGACGGTAATTACGCACCGACCGTAAAGAACGATTGCCCGGAGTCAAGTTACGTAATGATACCTCTAATCAAGGCTGAGCCACCCGTGACGCCGGTGAAAAATGAGATTTTACATCTTCCACGGATGCGTGTCGCGTTACCGTTTAGGCGGAGTTTCCTTGTTTTTCCAAATATTCGGTTTCAAGACACCTGATCTATTTTCCCTTGCAGATCTATGGAGTTATTACCTACCCTTTTTGTACTCTTGCGTCTCCTTCGTGGGAGTCGTCATGCTGTTGTGTAAGTAAACCCTCTCGAGGGGATCCTCCCTTTGCATGGTTTTTCCCTCCACCATTGATGTTCTGACACGATTCGATTTTATAGTGTGCACTCCAGTGGGGTTCGTCCGACTTTTCGGCGTGGTCGGGTCGTTCCTCGTGAAGCCTCAGTTCCTAAAAAATTTGGACGAAGAGTTCTTTGCCTATAGACTAGAAGAAGATTGCATTAGAAGAAGGTGAGGCCGCCACGTAAGGCGAGGCGTTGGCCACGCACGCGCTTTTCATTTAGCATTTAATTATACCTTGTCCACATAATCGGATTCCGACTTTCCTTCAGGCTGCAACACGCGAAGACAACCGGTAAATCTTACGTGTCTCCGGCGCCCATGTCTCTCCCATCCTGTGGGACGGTTCTCGACGACGAGGACGAGTTGCCGAATTCCAGCCCGGGATTGATGTGTCTTAAAAATGGAGCCCTGCAGCGCGGCCTGGCGCAGAGGTTGGAAGATGTCCAGCAGAGGAGGAAACTTTTGGACGAGCAGAGGAGGACGTGGTGGGTACGCAGGACCCTGCTGTATCCCCTGGCGATGTTGGCGCTGCTGGTCCTCTCCGCGGCTACGGCTCTGCTCGCGGTGCAGAATACTTTGGAGCTCTTGATAGGGATTAAAGCGTTGCCACTGAGTACAAGGGTACGTGCAGGAGGAAACCCGATGCCTAAGGACCGATTGCATCAACGCTCGAGTTAAAATCCTTAATCAAGGATTACTTAACGCCCGATTAGAGTCAGTGCGATATTAATTGCCCTAATTGATGATTAATCATAGTGAAGAAATTTCCCCCAGTCGCGGTTGGTGCAATCGGTTTCTGAGTAAGGTCGACGGGCGCTGACGGTTGTTGTTTTCTTTTTCTTTAGCAATTCACGCTGGGGATCAGCTCACTCTCCAAGCTGGGGCCTATCGGAGCCACCGTGGAGGTCGCGGTCATTCTGTACCTGGCGGCCACCAGTGCGATCGGACTTTACACGCTTCCTGGTGTCAGGAGGGTCCGACCAAGACGTCATTCGACTCCTTTGACCCATTTAATCGCCAACTGCGCTCTGCTTCTGGTACTGAGCTCCGCGCTGCCGTTGCTGTCGCGCATCCTAGGTATGGACAAGGGAACTCCAAAGTGCTAGCGCGCGTCCCGAGCTTATAATAACTTGGAAAATTGGCGGAAACTCTCGGGGTGGATTAATTCTCGCCTTGCGAAATCTTAGCTTAAGCGTGCATCCAAGAGGCGCAGGTGTAACCGATTGGGCTTTTCCTTTCAGGTATGACAAATTTCGACCTGCTGGGAGACTTTGGACGCATCGAGTGGCTCGGTAATTTTAAACTGGTCTTATTCTATAATCTAACATTCGCCACTGCGGCGATCGCGTGTTTGGCCACCAAGTTCACGGCGACCGTCCGCAAGGAGATCTTCGCCAGGTTACGTAGCAGTCTAATAGGGATATTCAAACGCGAGGAGAAAAAAGGTACGTCGGGCATGTTCCCGGCGAAAGAAGAATAGACTGATTTAGCGTATAAGTCATTAACGTCTACCGAGGGAGAAGACGCGAAAACGGGGCGCGGTCTCGTCGCTTCAACGAGAGCTTATGTATATCCGGTCTTGCAACAAGTTGCACAGACACGTTGCGGAAATGTCACCTCTTCGGAATCGGAAGGGGCTACATTTCTCGTGAAACCGTGATATAGTGATAAACTCGATACTTTGCATCCTTTTCGATTAGATGAGAAGCCTAACGGGAATTTCAATTAAGACAGAAATTTACGGAGGATGTAAAGGAGGAACACCGTCGGTTGTCGAGTCGGAACAACGACCCTTGTCGTCGACTAGTAATGCTTATTAGATAATAGATATTTTAATAATTATTTATACGATTTAACTGTTACGAAGGCAACGCAGTATTGTGATAAGGATGCCACTGTCGGCTCGTTGCAAGCGTGAATTGCTTCACTTTGGTACGTTCTGTGCTCATGTGCTTTGCGACAGTAGTCTTGAACATTACGGATCCAGACTTTGTATTATCGAGCACCTTGTTGTGCTTTCTTTTACACGCATACCGAGATATTCATCGCAAAATTGTAGCATTTTTTCTAGTATTGCCACGAGTGACGTCAGTACGCCCATTGGGCTGAGTAATTGCAGCCAAGGAAAACGCATTCGTTTCGTTGCGGTTTTGCTGTATCTTGGACATTTGTATGACGTAGAAAGGAAGGTGACGGTTGTTATGCTTTCTTCGAGGTACTTTTACCAGGAGATGGCAACTGTTTCGGCGACTAAATTGTTTTAACGTAGACATCTTGGTAGGCACTGCAAGTTCCGTTTGGCCAAGCTCTTTTAACAGATAACTGGATGAATCGACATAACGAAAGGTTTTTGCAGAAATTCTTGTTACACTACTTTAACTAAACGAAACACGGTGCATTTTCAATGCAGAATCGACTGTATATTGTACATATTTTATTAAGAGATCAGAAGTCAGACGACTGCCAAAAGTAATAAGCGAATGTAAACGAAAAGTCGTAATTTCGATATTAGTATTCGATCGTTCGGTCTTCTGACTTCTGGATGCTTTAATTATCAATTTAAGCATTACACGAATAAGATTTTGTAGGTATTTTGCAACAATGTTATGTGATACGCATCTCGTCAGAAAGACAATACTAGCGTGTGCACTGGCACGAATATACTCATTGATATACATATTATTAAATATTAAATATCCAATGGTGTCGAGACAGGACGCCATTATAGTACTTTATTGTTATGAATTACAATCTTCTATCGCGAATGTATTATCGTTTAGTGAGGTTCTTGTAATCGTCGCAACGTCTAATTCGTTTATCGTGATGTCAGAATTCAGTGTTCTCATTTATAGTGGCGACACAAAATATAACATTTATAAGTACAATCGGTGCGACGAGTAAGTCAAATATTACAATTGATTTCCACGGAATTTACATGTTTGAATTTGAATCAAGTACGAAATATATTGTGGCTATGTAACTGGTACCACGGGATTCTTTATTTCGCAGTATATGCACGAAAATGATTATATTCATATTCACTTCCCGTCTATGGACAGTTCATACATACATATAATGTATACACATGTTATATATATTATATATGTATATATGTACCCAATTGTGCTCCACCTGTAATAAATCGCCAATCATACGACTGCTATGTTTTATTTCAAAATCAACACATGATCGAGTAGTTACAATGGTTTGGATAATTATAAATGTATTACAATCAGTTATTCTACTTGCGTCAACCCAGATCTTTTTAAAGTCATTATAACATATCCTGCCGCAATACCACTACGTATTACTTTAAATTTTCCAGGCTCGCTGAGATCCACTACTGTTGACCCAACTCGTTTTTTCTCGTTCGTCATCTTTTTATTTGGTTGCAAATAAAATATACCTCCAAGTTGTGGCCACAAATTAGCAAACTCTTCTGCACTTAGCGAGCTTGGTTTGTTACTTTCATTGGCACTAGTGAGTGCTAACGGTTCATCGAGTATCTTGGAAACATGCCTCAAAAATTTATCATTTGGCACTCTAATGCCTACTTTGTCCGTACCTGGATTTAGAAGTGGATTTAAGTTTTCGGTACGTTTTAAAACTATAGTCACTGGTCCGGGAAGAAGAGTTTCTAACAGTTTAGGAGGTAAGTTCTCAACAAGTCCCCATTTTTTAATATCTGTTATGCTGCTTACGCAAATGGCTAATGGTTTTGCGGTGTCTCTCTTTTTGATTTCATAAATTTTGTTGACCGTATCATTATCCTGTGCAAGGCCAACGAGTCCATATATCGTGTCAGTAGGTGCAGCTATAATTTGTTTTTCCCGCAGGAGATTTACCGCTATAGCTATGCTTCTTATACCTCCACAGAACCAGTGCTTCTTTTCCGGGCCTAATATTGCGACCTCTTCTTTGACGGCAGTTAAGAGGGATTTTATAGGACCCTGATACTTTGGATTTCCAACCATATTTGCTACGTAATATTTTCTAATTTCTTTATATAAATAAGAAAGGAATTGTGTGCTTAATTATAAATATCTTTACAATACTTTGTACAAAACTCACACCTGTGAGCTTATTATTCTCTCCAGTTGTGAGAACACTGAGGATTGCAGCACTTGTAGAATGTAGTCATCGGTTCATCGGCAGATCTCGTTTGAATCTGCATGAAGTACGCTCGAGGATGCGAGCACTTGGGACAGCGTTCATCGGTTGAATCTACATTTTCCCATGCAGCACTCCCTCCAAGTACATCGTCCACCTCTTTCAACTTAGGATATGTACGACTGCTCACACGCCGAGCTATGTTGACAATATATGGACAGGTATTGCATGAAAATCGCAGGCAGGTCGAACCTTGTTCTACTCGTAAGACGTTTCCGCAAGTCGGACAGAAGAGGAGCATACTTTTTGTAAGCAGTATTCCAATAACCTTAAACCAAAAGCGACTTCGTGAAACTCTAACAATTTTATTTCTTAACATCGGTAACTTATACTACGGTGCCGTTAGGATATATATTAACTGCTAATCCATAGAATTGCACATCCAAAATGATTATTCTTTACCTAATGTTCATGACTTTGAAGGACCTCAAAAATCTAACATAACCCTTCTTGCCACACGTGTACAAGCGGAAATTTCTGACGACATTCCGACAGGTTCTTACATCACGAATTATTTTTCAATGTAGAGGTGATATCGCTTTTTCAGTAATAGGCCCTAATATTACGAAGTAGTTCCAGACAAGCGCTGCCATCACCGCGTACAAGCGCCACTGTGAGCGTTAACTGAATTTCTTATTCGTGTTGGTAAGCGTAGGTAAGCCACCACCGTCAACTGCCGCATGGTATTACCATCACGAGTACGTGAGCCGCCAACGGCGACTGGTAGATGGTACCGCCATCGCGAGTGCGCGAGCTCCTATCAGAAATTCGTTGCGCCGCCCTTGGGGGCAAAAAACGGTGAAAGCTAACGTACGAAACCAGAGGGCAGCACATGATGCGATCGCACGATCCTGCCCGTAAGCAATCTCCCAACTCATCTCTGGTGGAAGTCAGAATCGTACATCTTGCATGTCACATGGAGCTGCGACATCTCGTGCCCAATCACCACAGCTGCGGTCACTTAAAAGCAGGAAATCCAATTCGTAGATAACGCACCGTAATAGAAACTAAGTATTCTGGGGTGTTACTCCTACCCAACAAGGAGGGCACCGACTAGGTTTAAACTTTACATACATTTATTTAATAGCATTCATATTTCGAGGATTTGTTACATTATATAAACATAGACATTTCGTTTTCCACGCTAACTCCTATTTTAATACCTACGTGTATTGATATAATAGAACTATAGTATACCTAAGCATGCAGTATTCCATTGTTATTTGGTAAATCGTGCGTCGTGTTAAACACGTCTCTCTCAGCCCTACGTCTTGCGTCGATGTCCCTTTTTTTCGCCTAACACGTACACTTACATTTTACAGACATACAGGCGCATCCTCCCATTCGCTCTTGCCGATTCACTCACTGACATTGTGGGCGCACTTCCTAGGATGGTAAAACGTTTTAAACATAGGCTCTATTACCCTCAAAGACGCGATATAAGCCGCCATATGCCGTCGAGACTTTAGAGTATCCTTCTGCGCATCTTGGGAAGAGGACGCGTCGACCTACGAGATTTCTATGCGTCTCTGTAATTCAAGCATTGCATAAAATTCAATTCTATCACGGGAAAGCTCGCTCTGACTTTAAACCAACCCTTTTCAGATTTCCGCATTCGAAGGAGCCGAATAAAGGAGGCTGAGCATGCCGCCGTATACACGATGCAACCGTACAAGGCATGTGATGAATAATCCTCGAAGAAAACGGATAAAAAATGGAATCCGGGTCAAGAGAGCCCCGGCAGGTTTTTCGTGAATTTTCTGAACAGAAGGCCGACCGTTTGTGCGAATTTTCGAGGGATTTCCTTAAAGCTGGAACGTCGACGCTTCCTGTTTCCAAAGGCGCGCGCGCACCCACTCGATTATTGTCCACAAAGATGGCCCTGTCGCACTTAAATTCTAGCTAAATACCTCCTAGCCATCGCGTGTCAACTATTCGTCAATGGTCTCCGCTTCTTTATTTCTTTCTTTAATCCTTTTCTATGTGCGGTTTACGAGTACGTAGGTACCGTTGGTCAGAATTCGGGGTTCCGGTTTCGCGGTGGCCAAGCTTTTCGTCGCGGGATGAGCGGAAAAAATCTACCGGTAAGATAGAACAATATGGATAAGGATACTAATAATTGGGAATCCTTTACAGGACAATGTACAGCTTAAGAAGGATGACCGAGACATTTGGAATTGAGTTCCCTGTTAACGGAAGAAATTGATGCGATGACGGGGTCTGCTCAAATTTCGACGAAAAGGCTGACCGGTGGAACCCGTGAGCTTCGAGACAGAAAAACGGGACACGGGAAACTTACCTGACTATTAATACTATGAAACGATACATCGTGTAACTTATGTCGTTATGGTACACCTCGGACCTACTATCTAATCCGGATAAGAGCGAGAATATTGAGTCGTAGGCGTGCACCGTCGACGGGAAATCGCAAATACACGTCGCATCGTCGTCGCGTTCCCCGATTTGCTTTCGACTTTTCGTCATCGGTACCTTTCGAGCTCTCGGGGCGAAAGGAGGAGAGATTCGTACGAAACTGGGTGTATAACACATCGGACCTCCTATTGTATTCCCTCTAAAAAACGACATTTCATTTAACGCGACTCGTCAAGTTAATGCGACCGTTTAGAATAAATGCGTTAAATGAAATGGCATTATTTATTGTAAGGGTACACACAGTGGAAGGTCCGAGCAGAGGCGAGCGAGTTGACGATCGAAGTTGACGATTAAAGTCGACGATCAATGTTGACGACCGAAGTCAACGAGCAAAGTCGACGAGCGAATATCGGCGAACGAGGCATCGACGTAAGGACAGACCGAGCTTCCCGCAAGCTTCAACGTCTCTCGATGGCCCAAATAAATAGACGTTAAATATTGGCAGTGAATAATATAAAATAGAGCCGCGAAACCGAACGAGCCAAGCGGCAAGCCGCGAGATTGGAATAACTTATGCCTTAAAATAATTACAATTAGGTCGCAATGAACGATCGCCTATAGGTAAGATATACGTTGATCCCGTCGAGCGATCAGCCTCACTCGGATTCGTTAGGATACATATAGGCCCATTTTGGCGGTCCATAATTCTTGGAATATATGGAACGTCGATTTTCCAGTCGAAAAAGCCGAACCTCTACAAACGATCGTCGAAGGGTAGCTTCCGATACTCTTATCGAAAGCTCCCTTCGAATAGGCCTTAGGAGAAACTTTTCAAGATCTCTCGCTCGGCGGCGTGACATCGGAAAAAAATGGCGCGCGGTACGCAGATACGCGTGCGATTTATTTTCCTGCCTGCCATAAAAAATTCGATAAAAAGTGCCGGACTCGAAGGATAAAAATCATGATAGAAACGACGGTTAATAAAGGGTGATCCGTGAGCCCGTAGTCATTTAACGAGCTTCCAAACGGCCGTTTTGCAAGGTTTTCGAACGTCGCTCCGGTAGTCGAAGTTCCTTTTAAATCTAATGCCCGCCGCCACGTGGCGCGGAGATCGGGGATGATGTCCGGCGAATCAAGAAAGTCGGCTGCTGGTCGAGAAAAAAAAATTCAGCGTACAATTCTTAGAGGAACGCGCAAGAAACGCGTCGGCGATTTCCGCAGCCCTCTCGCTCGTTTTTCATGCTTCCAGGGCGCCGCCGTGCCTCCGGAGATGGAGATACAGCCGAGCGATCGAGTGCATCCTCGAGGTCCCTCCGCAAGAAGCGTCAGAGGGCACTTCACTTATCGCTAACCGAGACTACATAGGCTCATTGGAAACATTAAGAAGAACGTGGCGTCGACACTGCGGCGAGATAAAATCCCAGAAGCTCCGCAGCCTTGGACCCGCGCAGGGGGAGTTGCAATCGAAGCCCAGGAGTCGATAAAAAAAATCTCCAAGACCTGGATGCACTCGGCCGGTTGCATCAGGAAGTACTTGCCACCTCGCTCGATGGGCAAGAATAAATATTTGTCGTCTAACCAGTCTAGAGCATCCAGGGTACCCAGAGTAAATTCGGCTCCTCCTTCGAGTGCACCTCGTCGAACAGAAGTTTTCGTCTACAGGAACGTTTTCCCCGGGAGAGTGAGCGGGTGAAACGCGAAAGGCATTTCTTCATCATCTCACGGATAATCGAGCACGATTCATGTGTGATTTTTTAGCGCAAATCGGTCGCATGCGTGCGCACCGTCCGCCCGCAATGAGTCCATTACTCTTGCGTAGGGTCATGTACAGTTGCTGGCGCGCACGTATGGCCATCTTCCAATAGTTTATACCTAATATGTATATATATATATATAATATGTCTGTATATATATATAATATTTTTAATAATACATATCACACTGAGCCGGCTGCGTGTGTCCATCTAGCTGAGCACGCACTGCCCCTAGCACTGGCGCGCAGACGCGGAGCCACTGTAGAGTTCACAATTTTCCGAGGATTCCGGGAGAAACGTGCCGTTTTTCCCGGGACCTCGGAATTCCAGGGCGTTTTGGATCTTGTCCCACTTCGATCCACCGCGTCTCCGTGCTCGCGAGGGATGCGTGTCGTCCTCTAGTAGCACTTGCGCGTGCACGTGCACTTCCGCACCAAGTCCACGTCCTTCGTGTACCGGGTCCCGTTGTTGCAGATCAGGCGTACCTAGAGTTGATCGACGTTAATACGGTAATGGTAATAATAAACCAGGTTAAAACAGGAACCCAGGAATTAGCGCTCACCTTACGTCGCTTAGTTTTCCGCGGCAAACAACAAGAGCTACCGCAGCTGCCCCAACACTTGGCCAACTTGACCGGTCGTCGACTTCGGCACCCATTTTCGCTGTAGTACGCCCTGGTGTGCTCCTTCCGGCATGTGGGAGCTGGGAAAGGGGATGAAGAGAAGGTGAAGAGGAGTTTGATGGGTTAAGAGAAGAAATCGATAACTCGAAGACGCACCTTTATCGCAGTTGCGACCTTGCCATCCCGTTTGGCACTTGCAGGTGTAGCCGCCGAAAGGCTGGGGAACGCATTGGGAGCCTTTGTGGCACTCGTGACCGGCGCAGGGATCGACGAGTCCCGAGGCTGGGACCGGCATCGGCATGTCTGGAAGAAATGTCCAGAACATTTAGAAAGGAAGTTCCGACCTCGAAGAGCACCTAGGACCTCCTTTCAAGGCGATATACCGATGCGCTCGCGAGCAGGCTCCTGCGGCATGGCTTCTTCGTTAGTTCCGCCGACTTTGCTCGGTTCCGCGATCCCTTCGGCCTCGACGACGTCCCTGCCGGCTTCATCGGCTTCTTCGTCCCCGGTGGAGCACCCGGGCGTCACTCGATGCATTTTGGCGGCATTGCCGAAGTCGACGAGCTTGTGGTTGATCCACATCTCGGAGATGCACCCTGAAGAAGGTTAAATTTATACGTTTCTGGATTTTGGAAGGATTTCCCGCGACTGCGTCCGGATATTTAGGTTACCTTGGAAGCTCGTCACGTTCCTCAGGTGGAACTCGGCGAAGGCGACGCCGGCGACCGCCGGGGCGACGCCGCCGACGTACATCGGGGTCGTCAGTTTCAGATATTCCCTGGGACCCTCGTTGATGATGCTTCTGGCGAGGCCGCGGTCCACTCTCATCGTGAAGTTCTTCTTGATGGCCAGCAGCTCGGCTATGTGCGACTTGCCGTCCGAGACCATCTCGTAGCTGTACATCGTCGAGGTGGGGTAATTACCCACGTCGTAGGATACCCTGATGCGCCCATTGAAGAGCTCTACGGCGATGTGCTCGCCGTTCTGCCCGTCGTAGAAGAGGACACCGTTCTCGTGGGTCGTCACGAAGACGATGGTAACGTTGGCCTCGGGCCTGGTGCGGAGCGGCTCCAGCTCGACCAGCGAGCTGTTATCCACGAAGCTCAGACTCGTCAGGTACTCGCATCGTTTGCCTGGAGGGAAATTTACATTACAATCCCACGTACCTCTATCCAGCTACACGGTACACCCTGAGAAAAACCATATTTTCCTTCAAAGGGAATTATTTCTCCGAATGGAGTTAAAGAAGCTGTAGCATAAAATGAAAAAAATACAGTCTTGGCTACAAGAATGCCGATTGTTTAGCCGACGCACTGCCTCGATGGCATGTTGCATATCTTAATTTTAATAAACTAAGGAAATAGTTTTCTCCGAAATTTTCGGCTGGAGAGGTTTTTTTCTCAATGTATGTAGAAAGTGACGCCGTGAAGAGGGTTCTCACCAGTGTAGCCAGAATGGCACTGACAAAGGTAGTCCGCGGCGGAGGAGGGCGAAGGTTGGAAGCAAACTCCATGTTGGCAGTCGTGGTGGGCACACGGACTGGTCTGAGGATAGAGCATGGCTGTCGAAGGCGCAGCCTCGCAGTATCTCCCGGTGTACTCCGCCGCGCACTTACACTCGTAGTCGTTTATGCCGTCGATGCAAGTAGCACCGTTCTGCAAGTAGAAGGGCAAGGTCAGAGAAAAAAAATGATCGCCCGCACTAAGGGTAAATTTGGTCGAATCAGAGAAACATGCATTGCGACAACGAAATTATTTGAGATCAACAACAATCAGTTTGAATCAACGTCGAGCTTTCTTCGCGACGAAACAGGTGTTTCTTGTAATTGTGTACGTGTTCAGGCAATAGTGTATGTATTTTTTAGTGAGTTAATATTTTTTTTAGGATGGTTCTAGAGGACAGCTCCAGGTTACGGGTACCTACCTGGCACAGATGATCACCGCAGTCATCCAGGTTGGTGGAACAGTTGAGCCCGGCGAACCCGACCGGGCACTCGCAGCTGTAGTGGGTCCGGTGGTCGACGCAACGGCCTCCGTTCTCGCAGGGGTCGTGTCCTTTTGTGCAGAAAGGTATTTTCTCCTGGCAGTATTCTCCCATGAATCCCGGGGCGCAGTCGCAGCGGTAGGCCTGAACGAGGTCGACGCAGCTCGCGTTGTTGGCGCACTTGTTGTTCGCGCAGTCGTCCACGTTGCTTTCGCATCGGAGGCCCTCGTAACCGGGAGTGCAGTCGCAGCTGTACTCGCACACCGACTGAACGTCAATCGAGACACGAGGCCCGGAGCCGGACCGCGGATGGCCCGCCAAGTGTCCTCGACATTTGGGGACCACCCCGGAGTTCGCCTCAACGCGTCGACTACTACCCGGTGCCGGGTTCGGGGCCCCCCGGAAAGAGCCACGAGCGCTTACAAATGCTACTTACATCGAGGGGTTGTTCCCTCAGGAAATTATGGATTTTAATGCCCGAAATCACGTGGAAGTCATAAAAATCGCAAGCAAATATTACCGAAGCTTGCTATCGAATCACGCTATCATATGAAATCAAAGGCAATCGGTTCTCGACGAAGGAAATCGTTTTCACAAATTCCCAAGTGAAGAGCTCCTCGACTTCCACCTCGGCAATGGTCGTCGTGATTACAGGTGGATTACGGTAAAGACCCTCGACTCCGGCACCGGCACTACTCTAGCAGGCGATCGCGAGGCTACTCGCTCTATGTCTACGTCTACACCTAACTACGTAGCCCGTGTGTGCGCCGTCCAACTTGGGGGAAAAAGAGGAGAAAAGCAAAGTATCCTACTTCCGAACTCTAAAGTTTAATAGCTACAGCTTTAAGGGGCGACCTTCGGGCGCTACAAATGCCCAGGTTGGGGATACAAAGTGAGGATCAGCCCGGTATCTAGCCAGAAGAGCTGATTACAGGTCGCAAACGATCGTTACCCCCGGGGCAAGACCTAGATCCTAGGAAGTCAGCACTTTTGACCAGGGGCTGTTTTTTGTGATTGTCACCTGCGCACACACGGGACCAAGCGCCTCGAACCTGGATCCTACCTGAATCTGCCTTCTTCCAGTACTTTACAAGATCCGGAGTTCCGGCAAGGATTTCCATAGCACGCGTCAATTTTATGCTGACACCGGTCCCCGTGATATCCCGGTGCGCACTTACAACGGAACTGCCGGTCTGGTAGGGTTTCACAGAATCCCCCGTTCTGGCACGGTGCGGTGTAGCACACGTCGCACTTTGCCAGGACCTCGGCAGGCTGCTGTTTGGCTGCACGTAAGAAAGGTCTACGATTAATGAGCAATTTTAGTACCGTTCGAGAGGCCGGGGCCAAAACGACCGAACAAAACAGACTGGGCGCGTGTCAATCGCAAACTGAGGCCCCTCTCCCAAGCCGCGACCGACCGATGCCCCTGGCGACGCTTCCGGAGGCGCTTCTGGTGCTTACTTTTACACTGGAAAGCGGATACCGGGGTGGTGAGCAAGAGTTTATCCCTCATGGCAGGAGGTTCCATGCACCTGGCGATGCCAGGCTCGACGTAGTCTTTCTTGACCCATTCGGCGAGCCAGCGCATGCTGCAGTCGCAGTAGAGAGGATTAGAGCCCAGGGCGCTGCAAGAAGAGACCGATTAGACCCCGAAGACCTCTTTTTATTATATCGCCAAGTTTTACCCCCGTCACTTACAGATGAGTGATGGACTCTAGATCGTCGAAGGCTCCTTCTGGGATCACCGATATATCATTGCCGTGAAGGGAGCTGAAACGTTAGCGGCGATTAAGGGACATTCGTTAACGGATAACCCCCTGTGGGAGCTCTTCGGGTACTCACATGATCCGCAGGGATTTCAGCCCGGCCAGGGCGTTGCGCTGCACGCATTGCAGCTTGTTGTAGCTAATTATCCTGAGGAGAAACAGGGATGGATTAATTAATGGCCCACGGTGGGAATTTACCCAGGAGGTCGGATTACTTGTATGACCTGCACTTACAGTTGAGACAGGTTGGTGAGGTTCCTGAAGGTGTCGTTGGACAGCATGGCGATCAGGTTGTTGCTCAAATCTCTGGAAAGGATGGATGATGTAGAACTTCCTGATTTTTCGAATCCAGGGGTAGGTCGAGGAGCTCTTCCTTGTACTTACAGTCTAGACAGAATCCGTAGGTGGTTGAGTCTCTCCGGTTGAATCGTTCGGATGTCGTTCACGTCCAGGTAGAGCTCCGTCGTTTCCGGCGGTATCCCGCGAGGTATTTCCGTCAGGGAGGACCTGGAGCATCGCACCACGGAACCGGCGCAGTTGCACTGAGGAGGGCAGTAATCGTCGCCGAGGCAACCCACGCTGTCACCTGAAAAAGGCAGTTTCCAGGGTGGAGGAAGATCTTAAAACGACTCTGCACCTAGTGGCGCGTTTTTACGAGATGATCTGCTCACTGTTGCACTTGAACTCGTGTTGTGGGATATCTTTGACGACGGCATCCTTCAGTCTTGGGGGGTCGTGACAGCGCCCTGTGACACCGGGGATGTCGCGCCTCGTCAGCCATTCGGCGAACCAGGCCAAGTGACAGTTACACGATAGGGGATTCCCCTGCATGTTGCTGAAAGCGCGACGCCCATTAGGATGGGTCAAAGGGGATCACCCCTGAAGATGAGATCTAGGGATCCGAGGGATCGACCAGACGGAGGAATTTTAAGGTTCCGCACTTACATGGTCCGCAGGTGATCCAGGCCGTCGAAGGCTCCCGGCATTACGCAGGTGATGACGTTGCCGTGTAGGTTCCTGGAAAGGGGGATAAAAAACGGCCGCATTAGAGATATCGGCTCCCAAGGGAGGGGTTCCAGGGTCTCACTTACAAGGTCTTCAGGTTCGTCAGGCCGGTGAACATCTTGTTGTGCACCTCCCTCAGCTTGTTTTCCGACAGGAGCCTGCAAGCAAGACGGAGTCATTCCCTCGACTCGGATCTCGGCGAGGAGCTCCACCTCTTAGGAGGTAGAAAGCGCGATCGGGCGATAGTCCCGGATATCGGGGACGATCTCGAAAGTTAGCTCTAATTAGAAGACGCGGCGGAGCAAGAAGTCGCGAGTCAGGCCCGAGAGTTCGGGGATAATGGTGTCCCTTTTAACGGGGCTGGGGGACGCCTCCCTCCCATTACTCACAAGTCGGTGAGCTTGCGAGCTCCCTGAAAGGCGGACGCCTCGATGCGCGAGATCTTGTTCCTCCTGAAGTCCAAGTGCTGCAGCTCCGGCAGCTTCTCGAAGAGGCCGTCGGCTTTGATCTTATCCAGCTCGTTGTTCCCCAGCAACCTAAGCAGGCAACCCATTAGTCGGGACTACACGTTTCCGGCGCCTCTTCCTATGGGGCCAACTTACAGGGTCGAAGTGTAGATCGGCAGGTCCCGAGGGATCGACGTCAGCTTCTTGTTCGAGCAGTCCACCGTGGCCCCGTTGCAGGTGCACGGAGAGGGACACTCTCCTGGCAGGATGCACTCCCCGGCCCTCTTCGTCAGCAGCTCCTCGTCACCTGTGGATGGCCAATCTCGGATACGGACGAGTACGACATTTCTGCCTGATCTATGACTCGAGGCGACCAAACCACGGGACCTCCCACGATTTTCCTCCATTTATCGACCCCTCTTAGACGTGAGTGTCGGCGATACCCGCCATCAAAGAAATCCCCACGAAATGAGAACGGCGAGTTTTCAAGTGAAAGCGATCCCAGTGCATAGAACAATTTTTGTAAACGATTTCTCTGTACACGATTTCAGTCCCTTGTCTATGTAATCAGCCGCTGCAATTCTGGCCAGATTAAAATCGGTGTCTCGATTAATTTTATCTCCGTAACTGACTGTCTCGACATTGCAATTGGAATTAATCCAAATGTATAGATACCTTTCGCGGATAAAGGGTCGGTCACTTCTAACGATTCCCTTAAGTTTAATTTACGAGTTTCGCATCCCTCGCGATCCGAATTTTTTATCTCCCCACGAGGGTATTTCTCCGGCGTTTCTTCTCGTGCATCGGGCCGAGGATTTCTACGGGATGGTGGAATCTTTACTAAAACCGATCCTCTCTCCGAGCTGTAATTACAGGAATCGATGCATCGCCGTCCCGCCCAACGGCGCGCGTGGGACGCTCGTCAACGCGCGATTAAATGCGCCCCGAGTTATCGGAGAGGTTCGCGTTTGTACGAGCGATCGCGAGCCTCGATCTTTTCCCATCCTGGATGGAGGGCAGAGGAGACGCCGAGGACGCATCGCAGGACGATATTCCCGACACGGAACCTCCGATGCCCGTAAAAAGGCGACCTTTCGTACAGTTTCTCCTACGCGTCTGCATGCCTCGCGAGGGGCACGTTACGTGCGAGGGATTAGACAGATGAGAAGAGCGAGACAAGCGCGGGTTCATCCCAAGACCCGACGTCTCGTTTATCACGAGCCAAATGGAAGTGGGAAATAAACGCCGGCTTCGAAGTTTTACCGATGTACAGGCCGATACAGACCGATGGAGACCGATGTGCCGGGATTTTTGCGGCGCATTTAAACCCCGGCATTTTGATTTCCGTCGTGCACCCCGAGAAGAAATATTCCTTGACTTGACGCGAATTAAACATTCATATTTACTACATTTTTACACACCTCATAACCGAAGTTTCACGTAGTAAAGCGTAGTTATGAATTAAAGCGTGTATATCTACCGTGTTAGGGTGGTTTGACTTGAATTAAATGTAACGTTAGAATTTTCTTTAATTCAATTTATACGCTGTATGTGATATAATGGAGTTTATCTCCGATTTATCGTGGCATCGAAATAAAAAAAAAAATATGACCGGGTATGTGAATTTACGTGGGCATTTTTATCAGTGATAGAAACATGCATCGCGACGACAAAATGTCGCATTGAGTAAAGAATAATTCGTTTAAATCAATATCAATTTCTCTCATCGACGAGATTGTTGATTGTTGTAATTGTACGAGTCGGGAAATTATGTATATGTGGAGAATGTTTGTTTTGGTTAACTAATTTTTTATCTCGGTGCTGTTACGATTTCCCACGGAGGCGGTGACGACCCCACAAGTACCGACCTTAAGACCATCCTGGCAAAGTAAGAAGAGGAACCGGAAATCGAAGCGTGCTTACCCTTACATTTGAACTTGTCGTCCCGCATCGCGTCGATCTTCCTCTTCAGGGTCCTCCGGGGTGCATCGCAACGTGCACCGGAAGTTTCTATCGGATGCTTGTGGAGATACGCGCTCAGCCATCGAAGATTGCAGTCGCAGATGAAAGGGTTCTTGGCGAGGTGTCTGAAAGCAGAAGTCGGCAATGATAATTTTTTTTTCTATCCTTATGATCTTCATGGGCGACGCAATGGTACCGACAGGGTCTCTATGCTGCGCAGGTTGGCGAAAGTCCCATTTGCGAGAGACTTGATGTTGTTGTCGTAGAGAGAGAGGAGACGAAGGCTGGTCAGGTCCCTGAAGAGGTCCGTGCGGATGCAGGAGATCTCGTTAGCGTTAAGCAACCTGGAACGAAGTGAAATGTTTACTTCCGTAGTGGACACCTCGGTAATTGTTCCTCCTCTTATCGGCATCGCGTCTCAGCTCTTCCTTTTCCATCCAACTATTATTTATATTCATTTTTCTCTCAGAGAATTATCGACACGTAAAGTGGAGGAAACATGAAAAAAGAGTAATTCTGCCGCAAAGAACCAGTACCGAATAGAGGGCACTTTTTGAAAGAATTGGTATAATTAATATTTCTAGTGCTTTTCGACGTATGGGCGAAATTCATCGAACCGTACAGGCGATAGTGGACCGAATGTCGGATGCTCTTATACACCTTTAATATCTTGTAATTCTCTTTTTGGATCCTCGCAATAGCTGAATTTTTTCAGGCTCTAGGTCCCGTTCGAGGTCGAGGTCATTCCTAGGTGCGAGACAGGTGTCGGCACGATATCTCGGGTACCCTTCAAGTACTTGGAGTACGATCCGTGACGGACAACGATCGTCTCGCGGTCTCTCGCGGTCTCTCGGAGCGAAGGTCGCCACGCTCGGATGATGCCTACCGAGCGCGAGATTACTACTCACAGCAATTGCAAGTTGGTCAGTCCCTGTAACAGTCCACCTGGCAGCTCGGCTATTTTGTTCCCGTAGAGGACCCTGTGGAAAGGAGTGCTCGAGTTAAAAGGGCGAAAAAAGTCGAGATTTCGGAAACGTTTCGTCACCCTATACGTACAGCGACTCGAGGGACTTCAGTCCGTGGAAAGCGTCGGCCGCGACTTTCTTGATCTTGTTGTTGCTCAGGTCTCTGAAACGGCGGATAACCGAGAAGGGGAGAAGTAAGTACGACTCGTGGCTTGGTATCGGAGAGCAACTGGTGAGGAAAAGTTTAAAAAGTTGAAAAAGTTCCTTACATTCTCCGCAACTTCCTGTAAGGCGAGAACGCGTTCGGCGGGATCTCCGTGATGGCGTTCTGCTCCAGCCGGCTGAAAAATCGGGGAGGAAATGACAAAATCCTTTCCGCAAACCGGGAAAATCCTTCCCCACGGGGAGCATTTCCCCGGACTGTGTCACTTATAAAACGCGATATCGAGAGAATTATTTTCCAGCGCCAAGACCTCGAATAAGCTCGACCAGACTCACAGCTCGGTGGTGTCCTCGGGAAGATGGGTCGGGACTTTCGTCAAGGACTTCTCCCTGCAGTCCACGATGCCGTCCACGCATCTGCAAGGATGAGGACACTGCGGCTCCGCGCTGCATTCCGATCCAGCTCGTTCGGCAAGACCCGAGCACTTGAACTCGTGTTCCTAGGAAATGACAGCATTCAAGATCACTTCCGATACCGACGAAGCCCGACCCGGACATACCACCTCTATCCCCACCTGACGAAAGTAACTTTTTCTCGAATTTACATCAGGATATTCATCCGCGTCTATTTCAGAGTCCCCATGAAATTTCAATTTTTTTTAAAATAAGTTCTCATACCCTTTCAAATCTTTCATGCTAAATTTCACGCGTGTCAGGACCTTCCGTACAGTCTCCATATTCACGTAATAAAATTTGAAGAGAAATGAAAGTTTCATGAATAGTTGTTCCCTCGGATGCCACTTTTGCATCCCCTTAACGTGTCCCGAATTTCTGTCGGCGCTGTCGGGAGACGGCAAAAAGACAATTGGCGCGGAGGTACCGGGAAACTCCGGGAAAGTAGGAGAGACGTGTGTGCCTTGAAAATACAGAAAGTGTCGCAAAAGGAGCGTTTGGCCCATCCGTTTGTCCTCGAGCACGCGCTTCTCCGCTCCCCGTTAGCTCGAGAGGTCGTCGTACGAGGAAAGTAGGTTTTCCGTTCATCTCCTCACGTACTTGTAGGTCTGCGAGATTCTGGCCCTTGAGGTGCGCAGGAGAGGAGCACTTCGTGTGTTGGCCGAGTCTTGGGAAGCTCCTCAGGTGCCTGGACAGCCAGGACAGGTGACAGTCGCAGGCCAGCGAGTTTTCTGCCAGTCTCAGGGTGCGTAATCGCGTTAGCCCGGACAGCATCTCCTTCCCCAGGCTCGTCAGCTTGTTATCGTTCAAAGTGCTGCAACACGGCGAGGATCGAACCTCGATTTACCAGGACGTTCCGATCTACCGCAAACCGCACAGGATTCGTCCTGGGTCCCGCTCCAGAGGGATTAACCGTGGCAGCGATTAAAACGAAACGAATGGACCGACTGTCCGATGTTTCCGGTGAATACCTCGTCGACGTGGGGAACGTTTCATCCCCATCGATTTCGTCTCTTTCCGGCGGTATTTTCGGTCAAACTAATGGATACTTACAGGATCTCGAGGTCCTTCAGCTCCCGAATAGACGCCTCGTCCACGCAGGTCAGCACGTTGTTGTCCAGTAACCTGTGGAGGCGTTCAAGTCGGGTTACTTTCGATCCGAATGAAAATGAATTTTCCGCACAAAAATAAAAATTCATAAATTTCGAATTATTGAACGTTATAGTCCAATGAAATCAAACACGTCGAAAGAAATGTCAGATTGAGCAAACAAAGTTCGTTTAAACCAACGACCCCAATTTTTCATCTCAAGAAAATAATTATATACGATTCGACGACAATGTATATATATATTTGTTTCAGCGAACTAATTTTTTTTCTCCTTGCAAATACTTGGGAATAAATTAGCTAACGAAATTGCTCGATCGAATGGGCGATGTATCGTCGTCCAGGAAAGAATAACTCTACAGCGGGTATAACTTGTGCCGCCCCAGTTTCTTGAATTTTCGGTGGGGCAAAAACGTTTTCGCAAAAAAGCATCGCTGGCCCAATTCCCCTCGTTTATAATTACCGAGGCGAGTGGACTATTTTATTGACCCCGTGAATACTATTTCTGGGTATTTTACTCGGGTTCTTTCCCCTACGTAACCGAGCAACACCCTCGGAGGTGGTGGCTACGAATCGCGTCCCCAGCGATCGATCATCCTCGTAGGAGTCGACCAAGATTTCGGGACTTAGGATCCCGGTTGCGTTTCCAGGACCCCGGTACACGTCCATAAATCTCTCCGGGGCGGTTTCTCGGCTTCTCGGGGTAGGAAACCCCCGAGCACCGGGTCGGCATAACCGAGCTGATTACGTTACATCCGTACTTACAGGTGTTTCAGCGAGGAGACCCCTCGGAGCGTCTTGGGTCCGATCATGGCGATCTGGTTGTGGCTCAAATCCCTGAAAGCAGAGGGAAGCCTTTCATCCAATTGACCGGAGCTTCCGGAAGCCAGGTCGGGGCTGTCGCGGCGAAGAACCCCTAACCAGGCAAAGTTCACGGGAAAAGACGGCTGCGCCTCGGAAGTGGACCGCGCTTCGCGGGGGGTCGCGACTGTCGCGACTTTCGCGCCCCTAGCGACGTAGAAATGCTGAGAAACGCGGAGGAACGACCAGTCGCGAGCTCGTTCCACATTTTCTCGGCTCAATAATTCATGGTATCGAGTGGCAGAGCTGTCGCTTATCGCCGCGCCGAGCCGGGCATTACGAAGGGTGGGTACGTGCCGGGAGGGCACGCGAATCGGGAAATAATTCATGCCCGTTCCTGGAAAGTTTAGGGGAGGCCGATGCAGATGGGCCACGGTGTTTTCCGCGGTATTCCGCCCGCCTGAATGGCCGCTGCATGCCGCTGCATGCCGCTGCACCATGGTGCACCGAGGTGCACCTCGGCGCTCCTCGCGCTACCCAGGCGCAGTGCGCCTTTATAACGGCGCAGCCGCGAGCTCGTCCTTCTCGGCATCAAAGGGGATCCCATTACTCTCTCCGGAGGAAGATTCGAAAGGCTGCTTGCCAAGTCTGACCGGCTACGAGCTAACCGGACACGAGGCCCGTTGGACACCGTCCATTGACCGTACTTACTCTTCCGGGCTAAGTAAGAGCGCGGCTTAAGGCCGTCGCACATCGAACGCGACGTCAACCGATGACGTCGAAGGTGTCGCACGTCGGAGAGAATTTATAAAACTTGCATACGGACCTTCTGTCCCTTACTCGGGATCCTGATACGCGTATTGTAGTTTTTTAATCACCCCGTGCGCAGGAATTCTTATCCAGATTACATGGATTAATCTTGTTCAGATAGGAACAAAGTACGACAAATTATTTCGGTTAACTTTTCACGGAGAATATTTTTATGTGCGTTGGTGGAGTGGTGGTGGTTTTTTAATATACCCTTCACGTGGGTCTTCGAATCCTGAAGACGAGTTCAAGCGCGCAACGCGGCTTTTCGGTGTGGACGCACCTTTACTCTTCAGGGCCGAGGCAATATCCGCTATCCAATTACGGAAACGCCCGAATCATTCTCAAAGAGTCCAATTGGATTCCCATTACTCCTGCACAATGGACGGCGTTTCTTTTAACGAGATACTCATTGATTTCGGTAGCCGCTCTCGGACGTTCCTTCGCCTCTCCATCTATCTAGCCCGAAAATAGTGCCAGTCTTCCTGCCAGGATCATCGGGCCCCGGAATGCTTCCAGTCGCCGTCCTTCCACCCACGGGATGATGGATGGACTCCGTCCACGGGAGGATCGTTTGGTCTCGCCAGTGTTGGTATTTGTCGCGACCCATTTCTTAAGAGAAACGAGGGTATAACTCCTGGCACGAATAAAACGATTCCAGATTTAGAGCATCCAATTTTGGGGAATCACGATTTACGAGCGAGTCCACTTTTGGTCCGTCCACTCTGGTAAGCTTTTATCATCCTGTCCATGAGACGAGTTCCAACGATTCCAGATTTCTGGAGCTCCTTGGGATACTTTGCACCCTGGGGACGGTTCCGGCTTCCGGTACCATTTCGACCTTCTGGTCTCGACCTAATGGAACTCCGCGCTTCCGAGTTGATTCTACTCTCGCAGGACCACTGGCTTCCAATTTCGGAAACATCCGAATCGTTGTCGAAGAGGCCAACTGCATTTCCATTACCGGGAGACAATGGATGGCGTGTTTCCTGACGAGACGTCATTGTTTTGGCGAGCCTCTGGGGTCTCGCATGTCCTGGGGAACCAGGAACCGGCGAACCCTTAAACAGCGGAACTACTTATCGGTTCCTAACCACCTTGGACCAGGTCCTAGAAAGTTTCGAGTTGCCATTCCAGCCGCCCATCCATCCACTTGGTAAATGACGGATGGAGGCCATCCATGGAAGGGCCGTTCGATCTCCCCAGAGTAAACATGCTCGCGACCCATTATTTAAACAGGAAAACCTAGAAAACAATTCCCAGGTGAACCAAATGGATTTCGAATTTAAAGACCACCCAATCTCGAAGAATCAGGATCTACGAGCTGGGGAAAGAGCGGGTCCACTTTAGGTGGTCCGACCATGGTAAGATTTTATCTCTTCACGAAATGAGTTCGAACATTCCCAGATTTGGAGTTTCCTGGACCACCTTGAACCCTGGGGACGTGTCCGACTTCCACCTCCACCTTCTGTGTTCCGGATTTTACTTCGATGGGATCAGGGATCCCTAGCTTCGGAAACGTCCAAAAGACCAACTGGACCTCCATTTCCACCCAGGGAGAAAAAGAAAAATTCATCTAACCAAAGAGATATTCAGTCAATTCGAAGATTAATAATTTCGCTCAAATAAATGTGGCATTCAATTTATTCCAAATAATCATTCCTGGAATTAATGAAATATTTCTTTGGTTCAATGGGAAATATATCACAATGCAGAAGACAATTACGCGTTTATTGTTTTGGCGAGCCTCTGGGGTCTCGCATGCCCTGGGGAACCGGGAACCGGCGGACCCTTAAACAGCGGAACTACTTATCGACTCGTAACCACCTTGGACCAGGTCCTGGAAAGTTTCGAGTTGCCATTCCAGCCGTCCATCCATCCACTTGGTGCATGATGGATGGAGGTCGACTTCTCGAGGGCGCCTCGTGCCGCTTCCAGACGGGAGCCGTCCGAGGATCGCGATAACTCTCGAGTGTCGCTCCTATCCGAAGGCACGCGTTCCGCGCTATTTTTACCGCCCCCGCTAAACCGCAAATCGATTTCCATCCACGTCGAGTTTTGCGGCGCCGGGCCGGCTGCAAAAACGCGGACGTTTTCGGCATCTCGTAATTCATCCGGCCAGACATCCGCTGGAACAGTTACGAACTGTCGATCGCCCCTCGTTCGGATAGCGATTACATGCCCCAGCAGTAATTCGGCATGATTTGCGGCAAATAATCGAAGCCGTGGAAAATTCAAGGAAGAAAATGCACGGTCGAGTCGCGGCCTTATTAGTACGAATAATAGAAAATTCCGCTCGGCCGGTGATTCTCGCGATTCCGGTAAATTATCTCCGGGGAAACGCATTTCCACCCCGGGGGAAGTCAGGCGGCGGAAAATGAAACGCCATCGCACTTGCAGTCGGGCTCTACTTTAATCGGCATTATGAAGTTTAATTTGCAATGTAATCCGGTTAATGGCAAGTAACGAGATTGCGCCGCGGTAATTGTATAATATACGACGAGAAATAAAATGCCCGGATTGCGATGAAATTGGCCTGATTATTCCGCAGCGGTGACGCGGGGAGGCGTCATCGCGGGATGTCGCGGAATATAAATGCCGGAAAGTCATCGCGAACGCGGCAGGGAGCGCGGTTCCGACGCGGCGTTTCAAAAATTCCGCGAGGGCGTAAAATTGAAATTCCGAGTGCCGATGAAATTCCGCGGTTTCCGCCCTACGCGGCACCCGCGGCGATTAAACGCGGAAGAGATCGCGGAAGGCATTTCTCCCCCCTGCAAACGGCGACGGTTCGATTTACGCATTAAACGTTGTAAAATTCTCCGCATTTGCGAGAAGTTTTTTTATCCGCGAGATAGAGTCCGGCCAATCGAGGAGCGGCGGGCATTCCGTCCCGAAAACGCTCCTATTCTCGCGTAATTTCCCGAGTGCGCTCCGCTTTAACGGCGGCGGAAATTTAATGTGGGATTATGCGTGGCCGCTTCTTTGGAATTCCGTTTCCGGCCGGTTTTCGCGGTGGTTATTCGGCCAGAGGGAGAATTTTTCGCGGAGGAGCCGGAACGTCCCCACGTAGAGGCCGCGGAACGCGTGCGGATTAAACCCCGCTTTTTCGTCGGTTTCCTCCGCGGAGTCCTTTTTCGGGACCTTCCAGGGTGCCTCAAAGGAGACATTTTCCGCGGTAATTACGCCGAATACTCTAAATACTCTACATCCTCTAGATACTCCATATACTCACAGTCGCTTGAGATTCATCATGTTGCTGAAGAGCAAGTCGGGCAGATAGCGAATCTGGTTATTGTTGAGCCGCAGCTTTTCCACGCCGACCAGGTCCTGGAAGGCGCCCCTCTCGATCGTATGGATCTGGTTGTTGGACAATTGTCTGCGGGAATAATTCGCAAATAGTCGTGGTGGCCGGTCGATTCGAGAGAAAGGGAAAGGCATCGATCGTGGGACTCGAGCGGTGTTTCTTAATCAAGCCAGGACCGTAGAAATGTCTCTTAGTCGCGGACAAGTGATCGAGCGGCTTCGAATATGTATTAGCCAGACAAATTGTCCCGGCTAGAGAGGATAATTCCCCAGGAGAGAAGATATCCGTGGGAATAAATCGCTCGACCTGGAGGCACGCCAAGGATACGCTCTAGATTGGCACCCATCGCAATCCGGAGACCTTCGATGAAATCCCGACAAACTTGATAATCCCCGTTGATGGTTCTCTCAGAAAAATTCCCACGGGTCGACGTTTCCTCCGGACGAAGGGAAAAGGGTGTAGAAAAGGACGTGACGGTTAAACACTTACAGGACGTGAAGAGTGGCCATGTCTTCGAAGTCGGTCTTGAAGATGACCGAGATGTTGTTGCCCTGGAGGTCCCTGAAAGCAGAGAGAGAGCAAAGATTCAGCACTCGGTAATTCTCGTGTTTTATCCAATCGACTCGTTCTCTAAGTTCCCCTCTATGGCGGTTTCCGCCTCTCGGGGCCGCAGGACGAATGTTCCCGGTCACAATACGTGTGTTACATAACACTCGGCTAGAGCGGTCTCGCACTGTAACGGGAACTGCAATTATTGTTCCGCCAAGTGTTCGCATCGTATCACTTATTCCCGCAACGGTGCATTGTGTCGGAATAAAGGCGCGGAAATTCAATGCAAACGATACACGTACACACTAGGTGACCGTTGAGCTATCAACGGTAAACCAGAGTCTATGAATTTAATAAGCAAGTCCTTAGCGGATTATTTCCAGGAGTCTATGGAGACGCGGCCAACAATCCCAAACTAATGTAATTCACGTTTCATCCATATTACATACATATAAATATACATTCACAAGAAACCTTGATTTTACGCGTTCATTTTTCTACGCGTTTACCCCTAGTCGAGATGAAAGGGGTGCTTTAACGTTATTTCAACGTATAGGACAGGATTGCGAACGTCTATTTTACGTATGGACTACTTTCAAACGACGTTCATGTAACTGAAAAGTTGGTTTAATAAACGTAGAATGGATGTTACATCGACGTTGAACATGAAAGTGGAAGGGATATTGGAGCGGGTGAAGACGGTTTGTGAAGCGTACTTCACGGTCAAACGTTTTAGCGACATTTCTCAAGGAATACGTAAGTTCGGTTCTTTTGGGAGGTATCGATGATTAATTTGTTCCCCGATGCGGCCACTTTTACGCGGTTTCCTCGTCGCGGCCGTTCCGGGAGCTCGTGTCGCTAGTCAAGGAGCGAAGTCGGGAGACCTCGTTACGCGGAAGTATAAATTTACTTTCGACGAAAGATAGAACTCGGCGGAAGCCGTTCGCTGTCAAACACAGTCCGCGCCAGCGACGACGGCTTCCACCGGCCACGAGAACTTATTAAACTGGTTCTCCCCGTCCTGGTCCCTCCGCTCTTTCCTTCGCCTCTTTTTTTTATCCCCTTTCTCGGCGAGTTCCGAATCGAGCGAGAGCCTCTGGAGAGCCTATCAACGCTGTCACTCGCAACTCGTTATCGCGTCCCGCGGGAACTCGCGAGATTTTAAAGATCGACCTCGCGGTCACTGGCATCGAGAGTTTTTCCCCAACCACATCTTGAATCGACCTGATTTTTCCGATTTTCAAAGGAACCTCATCTGGTTTCTTCCTAACCTTATTATCCTATCCATAAATGAGGCGGTTAAAATTTTCTTTCGTCCTTATACCGATTTATATAACCTCATTTTCCTATTTTTGTAGACATTTCTTGAAATTCTCGTCCCACAGAGCTTCAACGGTTTGGGAATTTTTCCTTCCCTCTGAACGTTCATGAGAAATATTTTCAACTTCGCTCTAGTTAATACTGAGATAACGTTATTCGCATATTTTAGAAGGCCGTGAGTTGAAAATTAATTTAAGCGAGTTTATTTGATTTCAGAGCGACCTAACCTGGTTCTCCTATTTTCAAAGAAATTCCTTGAAATTTTTTTATCCACCGAGCTCGGAGGGTGACGACTGTTGGTTTGGGAATTTTTGTCCTCTTTGGGGCAAAACGCGGAAAGTCGGGCGTCGATCCGGGAACGTCTCCCGTCGATCAACAGCGCGTGTCACTGGCAGCGTTATCACAGCTGCGATAACACCGCGACCCTCGTCCACCCCTTCGGCTCGGCTATTTCCATCCCCTTTCGCCTCAAAGTGCCGAGCCGGGGGTCGAGATCGAGCCTCTCCCCGGTCTATCGACGATTCGTGAAATTCCGACCCATCGCGGCGTTATCGCCGGTAGACAGGATCCAGATAAAGCGCCTTATCAGTTGTTAACCTGCGACAACGTTGCGAAAACCGCTCGTACTTCTGACTCACCCTTTTATCCCTGTACCCCCTCCAAGCATGAAATCCCGTTCGGCGAGCACATAGCGATCCTGCAATCGTTATCACCCGATAGACCGTATCGTTATCAGTGCTAAAAATGGTAAAAAATTGTGAAAATCAAAGAAACAAGGCGAAAAATCGAAAATTTCTTGCGAAAGGGTGTTTCAAGGGTTTCGAAAGTCTCAAGTTGCGCAAATGATCTAGGGGGAAGAGTCGCAGTCGTCGGCGGCGTCGGCGTCGCGACGGATTTGCCTTTCCACGAAGACTCCTCGCGGTCCACCCGTCTTCTTCGGGACGGTCAATTAAAATAACTCCCCATCTTCCACGAAGGGGTTAACGTTAATTACCCGAGCCACCGACGTGGTCGGGCAAGACGAGTGACGGCGTCGACGCACCCGGTGGCCCCTTGTCACTCAAAGACACTAAATCTCCGCTGACCGTCGAGGAAATTCCCAGGGAAATTTTTCTCCTCGAAGCCGAGTCGTTTCCGTGGACCAATGCGACCTGGAAAGCTCATCTCCCACCCGAGCGCATTTCCTCGGAGTTCGATATTACTCTCGGCACTCTTGAGAGAGTAAATACCGCCGAGTCGCCATTCGTGCGTTTACTCGCGATTGTTGTTACAGTTACCGCAGCTTCTCCGAGAGTAATTAGTCCGGTAAGTTGCAGTATGCGCATTTACCCGCGATTGTCGGTGCAGATACCTGGCGACTGGTAAGGACGACAAGTGTCGATAAATTCCGGGCGTCCCGACGTTTCCACCAACGACCTCGTAAAACCCCAGGAAGAGGATAAATCGCCGTGACAAAATTAAACAATTGTTCTCTAACGGGAAGAAATTCACGTGAGGAAATGAATTAATCAATTTGTCTCGCGTTGAAACGAAAAAGATGGATCTTTAATGAGATGAGATACATGGAAATTGCACCCCGGTTTATCCTCTACCCTAGGTGAGACAGATGAGGTGTTAAAGTCAATAAACGTCATCTAATGATAACAGAATTTCCAGGTTGATCTTGGATAGCGTCACATCTCCATCGCACGTTACAAAGCTCTGTCGGACCGGCCTCGGCACGTGTCGTAGCCGATACGTGTCGGGCCGTGACGTATAGCGTGAATTCCCTCGAATTCCCGAATGCCGTACCTCTAGGCCAAAATTTCCGTCCAATTTGGAAACGACCCCGAGCGGGGAAGTCGATCAAAGTTTCCGCAGGCACTCGGCCGCTTCCGTGCTCGCGATTCCGCGTTAAAGCCGCGCGGGTTTTCGCGCCTCCACGAGTGGGACTCACTTGAAAAAAGGTGGGGGGGATTAAAAAATAAAAAAGGGGAAAAACGGGGCCAACTTTCCCCTCCCCTAAGTCCTTACTGGAAATCTTCACGGAACGTTTAGCCGTTTCCGGCAACGCGGGGATTTACGGCGGGGTCTAATTTTTCCCCGGTTTTTTATCTGCGATCGGAGTCGTTTCGCGGAAGGGGCGGTTTTTCCGAAATTACACGCGCCGCGGTAACTCGGGCCAATTAAGGTGGGCACCGCCGGAATGGCGCATGCCTCGGTCGGATTTTACGAGGGGCCGCGAATCGCCGATAGGACGGTCGCGCGTACTCGCGCGAGTACGTGCGAGTGCTGGCGATCGATATCGCCGGCCCGGGGTACGAACCGCGCGATATTAACGACCGACGAGTACGAGTACCGCACTTGCTTTACCGGAGCCGCGCTTTACCGGTTTACTCGTTGTCGTTAGCTACCGCCGGCCCCCGCCGCTCCTAGTTGTAGGTTCGCTTTGTCAGGCTGCACGAATCGGCATAATGATCTTCTCGTACTCATGCCGGAGGAATGGCCGCTTTCCAAGTGCCTCGCCGAATGGAGGAAGGTGGGCGAAAAGTAGGCCTCGATTAAGAATATACCGCGCCAAACCTATATACATGGCAAATGTTACAGGAACCAAAGAAGAAAAGGGTCGCCGAGTACTCGGTCCGCGATTTGTCCAACATGGCGCCGAGTAAAGCGCAATTTTTACCTCGAGGAGTTAATGAATTTCAGTAATAATTCCCAACGAGGGTAACTAGTCTCGAAACGAGACACTTAGCGCCGCAACCGACCGTGAGAAAGGTATTTTTACCGAGTATTTTCGAGTTGCTCGGTAATAACTAATTTTTTATTAGAACGTGAAGTGAGTACCCCTAAGGTAGTTCATGGCGCGTGACTTGTAGGGGGGTTATAATATGTGTACGTTTTTTTTTTTCGGGGGTTTTACGGTACTTATCCGGAATGTCCGAATCGTCAATGTCGAGTACACGGTAGAGTACTCACCCGTGTACACCATTATCACATTAGGTACGCCTCGTCCGGGGAAAAATCGGCGCGTAAATATCCGCCTACGTTGGGCCCGTTAAACGAATAATGGCGTATAAATAGCGTATCGAGCGGGCATTTAGCCGCGCAATCTACGCTTCGGGCGTTTATGGTAAACGTTTAATATCCTTTATTTATACCACTTGGTGCTTATTGGGTCCGGCCACATACCAGGCGAATCGGAATATACAGGCCGCGGTTCGACGGGTCGCGTATCGTTAAGGAGCTGCCTTCTTGTCGTCGATACCGCGGCCTGTTGAATTACCAGTTTTTCAGGGGCGTACCTGAGCTCATGTTCGGAGGCTTTAACAGGGTAGAAAGGTAGGTACAAGGTGGCCGACGATTTATCGCGACTACCGAGGAGAAAAACTTTCGGGAGCGCCATTAACCAATGAGCGAGCAGGGAGTTCCTTCCCTGCGAAGAAAAAAAAAAAAAACGAAGAAATAAGATCCACGGGATATTTCTCCACTATTTACAGCTGATGAGCCGATAAAGTACTTTGGGCAATTTTTCAAGTAATTGTCAAGGACGAAGGCATAGACGATTCACCATCCTAATCGAAAAACCAATGACTGTGTAGGGAGTTTCTTCCCCCATCGAGAAAAAATCCATGGAGTGGATTTCTAATTACAGGTCGCGAGTAAAACAAACACAAGATATCTAGAATAATTGTAAAAATAATTATTCTAGG